CTATGTGAGGGGGAGTGGACGCGCTTGGAGGTGGCTCCGTAGCCCTTGGTGCCCGTGGGCCACCGCACGGGTATGCAGGTGTGCAGACAGGGGCCAGACGGGGTGACCTGCCCTCCAGGAGGTCTGAGGTCTGGGGGGACAGGGTGATGTCCCTCCATTCACCGGGAGGCTCTTCTCTACAGACCAATGGCAACCGGCCCACCCTCCCTACCCCCCCCCCCAAAGCAGTTGGCTGGGCTCTCCCAGGCTGTCCCCTAAGAACAGGCATCCTATTCTGAGGAGTGCTGTGGAAGCCCATAAAGTCACTCAAAAGGGGACCTGAGTCATGGCTTGAGCTTTCTGGGGAGCCAGGTAGGGCGATTGTTTGGGTTCAGTCCATGATCGGAAGCGGCGGGTAAGGAGGTAGACGACACTGATTGGCACGTGCTATGAGCCAGGGATTGGCCTGATGATTTGATTCACAGTCTCATTCTGCCAATCGAGAAACGGGGGAGATGCAGAGGTAACTCCCCACCAAGGTCCACAGGCCAGAGTGGTGACAGAGACCTTGTGGATAAGACCTAGTGTTTAGGGGACCCAGGAAGCTGCTTATTTACTGTGGAAACTGGCTCTGGGATGGCTGGTTTGTCTTGAACTCAGCGCAGGGATCTGAGAAAAAAGACGTGCCTGGCTTTCGGCTTCTAGTTGGAACACAGACCTCAACTGCCCAGCAGCCAGGGCCTAAGATGTCCTCAGAGGAGATGCCTTAACTGAATCTGAGATGAGGGTGTGAAGCTGAGGGAGACAGTCCCCTCTCTGCTTCTTCCCTTGCCCCAACCCTATTTTATCTATATCCTGCATGGCATCGAGAGCCAACACTGCAGGTGTCTGTGCCGGAGTGAGAGAGAAGTGTGCTGCCTGCAAGGAGGGAATCGAGGAAGGCAGGTGCCAGGGATGTAGGTGAGACAAGCGTTGGGGGGCTCGGTTTTGCTACGAGGAACACACACTAGTCTGTCTCCAGGGTTATGTACCACTTATGTGGCCACTTGGCAGAGCAGGAAAGCCTCCTGAGGCCCTGTCCTGCAGGGCTACGAGTTAGAAAGCCAGATGTGTGGCCGTGGGGACCCTCAGGCTGGGGGGGGGAACGCTGGGCCAGAGCTCATCCTGGGTATACAGAGACAGAAAGGCCAGCTCTCAGCTGAGCCCCACAGAAAGCGGCAAAGAGTACGAAGACATGGCAGCTGTTCATATCCACCTATCAGGGCAGCTCTCCTACCTGCCAAGGGCAGGCTGAATGGAAAGCCTCGAGCTATCCGCATGGCGGACAGTACGACCAGGCAGGTCACATTCCCACCGGGTCCAGTGCGTGTTCTCTCCCGGGGAGGCCCTGTTCTCTTTCCCTCGCCTAGAGAGGCTGAGCCAAGACACTGCTGCCAAGGACCGCCTCTTCTCACAGGGTTGCCCCCAAGAAAGGGAGGGCACGGAGTAAGTAGAGAGCTAAGTGTGCTGGGTTTCCCTTCCTGAAAAAGGTGGGTTTCCATGTTTCTTGGGAGCTGGGATTGACCGCTGACTCCCCTATGCATCTGAGACCCATCTGATGTGTGTGTGTGTGGATTTCTGGCATTTCTGGAACTTGGTGGGACGGGGAGGTGGTACCTGTGCTTCAGTTTCTCCACGAGGCTAACCAGCCCACCTTGCAGGGTTATTTACAAGGACCCACCATGTAGAGCAAGGTTTAAAGTGTAAGCCCAGCATGAGAGACCTGAGTCTTTCATCTTGCTCAGTCTTGGCCCCCTGCCATCTCTTTGATGACATCTTTGGAAACATGGCACCCTTGCTCTGGGGACCTGCCAGGCTGGGCAGGATGGTATCACCAGAACTCTCTGTGGTTGATGGCATCCCCCACTCTCAACAGCTCTCCAGTGACTCAGACACACCCCAGGGCACTGGTTTCCTCTATGCATGTCAGCAACATCTCCAGAACCTTCCCCAAAGGCAGCCAAACCTGATGGTTGGGCACATCCACAGGATGCTGGCTTCCTCCACCTGGGAGAGCCCAAGAAGTGACCTGTGTTTCAATTAGTGGGATGCAGAGGGTCCATCTGGGATCTGCCCCTGCCCTGAATGACCTTGGAGAAGTCTTTGCCTTTGGCCTCCTGTGGACTCCTTTAGGGGGGGAAGATGGCCAAGACCTTTCACCTCTATGAAGTGAGTCCCCCTGGCTGCTGGGAGAGGAGATGGAGGGAGGCACTGTGTCTCCAGCCCCCTGACACCATCAGAGACGATCTTCCTCAAATGCTGCGTAGCTGCCACTGTCCTGCCCTGTTTTTTTTTTTTTTTTTTTTGTCCTGCCCTGTTATCCAGAGAAACCACTCTTGCTCTGGGAACTTTGGTGACATGAAGGTCACTGGGACTTCTGTCAAGGACAAAACACGTGCTGCTTTCAGCCAGACTCCCCAGAAACGAAACATGTTACACTGGTTCTAAAAAGGAGGAGGCCTTCCTTTGCCACTGGGCTGGGCTGTCCAGTTGCCATGGGCCCAGTACCAACAAACAGGAAAGTCTGGAGGAGGCCCCCTCCTTCTGAGCCCCTACCGGAAACTGCCAAATCAAAACTTGTACCACTTACTTCCTCCTGAATCACTTGAGGTTTAGAAGATCATTGAAAAGGTAAAGGAAAGAAAGAAAGCCAGTCTCATGGGGTGAGGCCTCTCCAGCTGTCCGATGCACAGAGCTCACTTGCCCCTCACACCCCCAGTGCCCACGGCCAGCTGTGACCCTTCCAAGGCAATAAGTGGTATCCCGTCTTTCCACACTTGTGGTGTGCAATTGCTTTTTTGCCCATTTCTTCCCATCCAGGCTCCATATCCAGACCCAAAAGGGTTTTGAGCACAACACCGGGGTTTCATATTTTTTTGACCCCTATCCCCCATGCCCTGGCTCAGTCCTGGGGTGCTGAGCAGTGCCTACTGTATCTGGCAACTGGCAGGGCAGAGAGAAACAGAAGCAGCTGGACCCAGCTTTGCATGGGATGCCTCCCTCAGTTTGCTTTCCAGGCAGGAATGCACTGTAGCCCAAACATCATCAGTGCCATTGAGGTTGGGTGTGCACCTGGAGTGTTCCAAGGGATGGATGTAATCTGGGGAGCCAATGCCCTCTGGGCCCCCACTGAGAGGGCACACGGGCAGGAGCCCAGGGACTGCAAATGAGCCTGGCTCTGCAGGTGGATGCTTTTCCAAGCAATAATCAGGAGGGCAGATGGGACTCCCCACACGCAGGTCCCCAAACCCTGCAATGTGTTAGCAGAGTGGGAGCTTGCTCTTGGCATTGGAAAGGGGGATGGCGTTTTTTGAGGGGGAGGAGAAGTTGCAGAGAAAGAAGAAATCCTGAAATGACAGACAGTGGGACAGCTGTGGCCTGAACTTGGTGTTCTTACTCCTCCGATGTGGATGTATTAATTTCCATAAATGCTAATAGCCCATTTCTCCAGGAGCTATTACTTATGTCATCTCCCCTTGGATGAGGTTCAACACAGGACAGACAAATGAAAGGGAGAAGGCAACCCTCACTGGAGGGTCCCTTGTTCCCCACCCCTGTCCCCACCAGGCAACTCAGGTCTATTTTCTAAGGTGGCCACGGAAACAAACTGCAGGGTCAGGACCCCCAGCCTTCAGCCCCACAGCCGAGTCCTGTCATGCCAGGAAGCAAAGAAAGTTTCCAACCCCAAAAATGCTGAATCACAAAGTGAGGCTGAGCAGGAAAGTGGGGGTGGGGTGGGGAGGGAGGTGGTGGCCAGGGAGGATGGCAGGAAAGGGTGCTGAGGGGCTTCCCACCTGAAACCCCCCAGGATGCTCTAGGCCAAGCACAGTCCCCCACGGGATCCTGCAGGACAAATGCCAGGAGGAGCGGAGCCAGGGTGTGCCTGGGTAGGAGAGTGGCAAGGTGGGCAGGTACGGGGCTGCTGCCACTGCAGCAGGAAGCAGTGCTGCTGCTAGGTCTCTGCATCCTGTGGGAGCAGCAGCAGGTAGGGAGGTGTGGAGAGGAGAAAAGCTGAAGCTGGGTAAGGGGCATAGGGACCAGGCTGGGTGGGGTTTGGTGTGTAGGGAGCCTGAGGAACTGGTGCAGGAAGGCAATGCCAAGGTCCTGGGGACCTGCAAGGTGGAGGGAGAGCGTGCACGGGAAGAGAGGTAGGGGCTGGGGAGCAGAATGCATGGGAGAATGGGCACAGGGATAAGGAGCAAGAGGCAGGATGAGGCTTCAGGAGCAACAAGGAGGCGAGACGGGGAGGTCCGTGACCGGGAGCGCTCGGATGGGGCTGCGCAGAGGCCGGGAGAGGGGACGGGAAGGAGGGATGGGGGCAGGGGGAGGCGAGGCTGCGGGAAGGGGAGGTGGCAGAGGTGGGGAGGGATGCTCCGGGACGAGGGGAGGCGCGAAGTTTGGGGCAGGGGTCGGGGATGGGAGCCGAAAGGTCGGGCTGGATGGGGGAAGGGAGATGATGGAGAAGGAGGTGAGCCCGCCGGAGAGGAGGTGAGGACGGAGGCGGGCGCGGGGACGCGCCGTGGGAGAGGAGATGGAGAATCGGCGCGGGCCTGGCGGGCGCCCGCCGCCGCTCTCCCGGCGCACGGCAGTGGACGGCGCGGCCCGCCGGGGTCCCCCCGCACTCACCTGGGGGCTCCAGCTCCGAATCCTGTAGCCCCGCTCCGGATCTTCCTTCCCGCCCTGCCCCGGCGACTTTAGCGCCCCCGAATCCCGCTCGCTCGGCCAGGTTCCTCCTGCAGCATCTTCACCTCGTGGGACGCCCGGGGCCACGCCTCCACTGGCTTCTCATTGGTTGGCCTTCACGCCAGTCATGTTCCAATTGGCTGAGGGGGTCGCCGGCCATGCAAATCAGGACGGGCCCGCCGGCGCGCCGATTGGCTGGCGCTGCCGGAGCGTAGCCCCGGGACTGGCGCTCCGATTGGTCCCGCGGCCCTGCCAACGACGCCGACGCGGGGCGGGCTCCCGGCCTGGGCGCGCGGCGCGCCGCCTGCCGACGCTCCTCTCGCGGTGGCGGCGGCCCGGCGATCCCCGGCGCTCCCCGGCGCTCCCTGCCCGCTAGGCCTGCGGCTCCTGCGGCTCCTGCGGCTCCGGCGGGCTCCGGCGGGCTCCGGCGGGCCTGCCAGCCTCAGGCTCTGGGGTCGCCGTGGGGGCTCGTCTGCTAGAGCGAGGGCCTCGGGGCGGGGGCGCGGCCGCGTCTGGCCCGTCTCCTAGGTAACGCGGTGCGCGGCGGGCGGAACCACGCCGGCGGGCACGGGGGCGGGGCGGGGGGTTGGTCGTGACCTGGAGCGCAGGGGCGGTCGGGCGGGGTCCCCCGGGGCCCGGGGTTGGAGTGCTCCGGGCGTTCTCCGCGGGGACCAGGTGCTCGCTTTGGTTGCATCCCACCCCGCGTTGACACCTGGTGCGGCCCGGGGTTCCCGTGGGCGTCGGGGGCACCCTGGGGCTCAGCCTGCGCCCTCTGCCCTTGACCCTGCGCCCCTCTGCAGCCGCTCGGCTTCAGACGCGCGGGAGGCGCGTGACCCGGACTTGTGCTGAGGCCCTGACGTCGGTCCTCTGCGCTCGAGGTCCCGCCCGAGGTCCCGCTGCCCTTCCCGGCCGGACCTCAGTGGGGGACCCCTGCAGGGGGTCTGTGCCCAGTGCCCATCCTCGGCTGGAGCCCAGTGGGGGATCCCTGCATGGAGCCTGTGCCCAGCCTGCGCCCTTTCCCCGGCGGGACCCCAGTTGGGGTCCCCTGCTTGGAGTCTGGGCCTGGGTTGCTCCCCTTCCTGGCCTGGTGTGTGTCCCCTGCTGGCTCAGCCCAGAGCCACCGCCCAGTGGAGAGTGCGAGACTGCCTGGATCTCGCAGGAGGACTGTCTGCCCTGCTGGCCCTGCAGCCGCTCCTGCCTTTCCCTCCACTGCCCATCTCCCTGACTTCCTGACCCACTCAGAGCTGGCCACCTGGGCCCTTCCCGCAGCCCCAGTGCTTGCTCTCCTGCGTACTCCATCCCACTCAGAGACCCTACCTGTGCACGTATGTCCAGGGCCTGCCTCCATAGCAGACTGCTGCATTCTCAGACAGTCCTGTCTTGGGCTGCTGTGTCCTGTGATGATGGATAATGGACTCCACTTCCAACCCAGTCTCCATCCCTGTCGACTGCATGCTCCACAGCTCTGTGGTTTTCATAGATCACACCGTGTCTTCCTTGTGTGCTAACTTACCTCCTGTCTTTCCGCTTCACACCAGATCCATTCCCTGAGGGCAGGGAGCTTGTCTGCTATGTTCAGGATGGTTTCTCCAGGCCCTGGCACCTGGTAGGTATGCAAAGAAGATTGCTTGAATGGGGGGGGGGGGGCGGGATGGACTCTAGGCAGTGCTTGATTAGACAGCCATTTACTCCCAGGTAAGTTCCCAAAGCTTTTCGGTCTCAGGCATCCCAGATCTTGTTCACTTCTTGGAAGGAAACATCCCCCTGCCTGCCCAGCTGCTCCTGCCCCCCTCTTTCTCTGGTGTTCCACTGTTGTTGAGATTTTATCCCAGCTTGCTTCTTCAGCGCCGGGATTCCCTCTTCTCTCTGCCCCGCACCCTCCCAAAAAGGAGACTGAATTATGCTTGTCTTCTGTGTGCTGCTCACACTCGAACCCTTGTCTTTTCCCCACTGGATTTTTAGATTCTTAAAGACTTGGCTTTTGGCATTGTTCACCATTGCACACAGTGGAACAGAAGAGGTGTGCAGAGCAGAGCCCTCTGGGAGACCTCACAGTCCCCTCTCATCCTGTAGGTGGAAGCAGATGCAGGGAGGGCAGGAGACTTCCCTGAAGTCTGAGGAGAGTGGGGCTTAGCCTGGGTGCTCCAGCCAGTGTCATGCTGTAGGCTCCGGAGCCTCTCCTGGCTTTGAGCCTGGTCATGAGCAGCCATGTGGCTTTGGCCTGGTTGTTTAGCCCTAGTCTCCTTGTCCTCGTCTGTGATACTTATCTGCACATATGTTGGACCAATACACACGAATGGGTCTGTGAGTGCCCACCCAGCTCGCAGCAGGCTCTCTGTGGGAGCTGGTGTGTTTTCTCATGTTGTTTCTACCCTGGAGAGCCCTTTGTGTTGGGCATGGGGCCTCACTCTTTTCTCCCTGTTCATCTAGCCCTACAGGCCTTCTGCTCTCTCTCTGTAGCAGTCTTAGCTCCTTCACAGCATAATTTAATTATTTACGTAGTCATCAAAAGATTTTCAGTGAGGATCTAGCCCTGATCTGGCTGAGCTCATTCTCACAGGACAACAGAAACGGGGAGCCTGAGGAATTGTGGTGACTTTCTGTGACAGGATCCTAGGGGGCATGGTGTCCAGGAGGAATTGGAGCAGGGGCCGAGCGGGGGCACAGTGGCCACAGAGAGGACAGAGTGTTAGGTGGGGGTTGGGAGGTTGGGAGGGAATTGCTCTGTGCCCACTAGGTCTCCCACTCCCAGGAGCCTATGTGGCAGGTGCCCTCTCCTCTATTGCCCACTCAGACTGTTGCTACCCGTCTCCATATGCCTGGCTCACTGTTTTGGTTGGGTGACTGTCCCATTCAGAGTGGAGGCCTATCTTCCCAGCGTGCATCCTATGGGGACTGGGTACAGCCTGGGGCAGTCCTGTGGACATGCTTCCTCTGCTATGTGGACTAGAACAGGAGTGTCCTTCAGCATCTGCCAGCCAAGTGTGGTAGCCAGGGGGTGGGGAGGTAGGTGCTGGCTCAGGAATCTGGGCCCAATGAGCAAAGTCTGGAAGGGCCTGCAGAAGAGACCCAGTCCTGGAGCTGGGGAAACAGTGCGGGCCTTGCACAGAGGCCCCTTTCAGAGGTGATGCTTGGCTACGGTGCTCCCTAGGCAGGGGGACTTCCTGACAGGGACTTTCTTTTTTTTTTTAATTTTTTTTAAAATTTTTATTTATTTATGATAGTCACACACAGAGAGAGAGAGAGGCAGAGACATAGGCAGAGGGAGAAGCAGGTTCCATGCACTGGGAGCCCGACGTGGGATTCGATCTCCGGTCTCCAGGATCGCGCCCTGGGCCAAAGGCAGGCGCCAAACCTCTGCACCACCCAGGGATCCCCTGACAGGGACTTTAAATCCGTAGTGGCACTCACTTTGTATGAATTAACACCCCCCCCCTTTTTTTAAAAATGAAAGTCAATGAGAAAACATTTAAAAATTTCTCCTTAAAAAATGCTTGGGAGTCAATTTTATTGAGACTTTGATTTTATGAAAATTTGTTGAGTTCACATGGTGAGCCAGGTACCAAGGACACAACAAAATAGATCCCCTCGTGCAAGTGATTGGCCAGTGGGCAGACCCTCACAGGACAGGTGGCAAGTGCTGCAACCATGGGAAGCACAGGGGCCAGGTGGGCCTAGTCACTGGCCTCCAGGGCCTCCAAGAAGCTCTCCTGGGCATGTGGCCCTCCTGCTGGGTATCAGGCCTCTGCTGCTTACTAGTGGTAGACACCTGTGTGAGTGCCTGTGGCTTTTGTAATGATACCACAATCTGGGCAGCTCGAGTCAACACAGTTACCCTCTTCCAGGTCTGGAGGTCAGAGGTCCAAATTCAATATCACTGGGCTCAGATCAAGGTGTGGGCAGGGCTGTGTTCCTTATGAAAGCTCCAGGGGAGAAGTCTTCCTTGCCTTTTCTAGCTGGTCGTTGGCCTGTGACCCTTCTCTCCCTCCCTTCTCTGTCTGCTTCGTGGTCACTCGACCTGTTCTGTGACCCTCCTGCCTTCCTCTTCTGAGGATCCTTGTGACTACATCAGGCCCACCTGTGTCATCTAGGTGGATCCTGTCATCCATTCTCCTCCTTAAGGTCCTTCACTTAATCACACTCCCAGAGTCCCTTTTGCCATGCGAAGTCCCATATTCACAGATCCTGGGGATGAGGACCGGGACTTCTTTGGGGGCCATTTAGCCACCAGGGAAAGCCTCCATGTGCTTTTCTTGGCTGCTACACCTCGGTTGCTATGGGAATGGGGGCTGCCTTCCATCAGGCTCTCTCCACCTAGGGGTCTGGGCTGTGTGGGCAGGACACCTTTTGACCTCAGGCTCTCCCTGGAGTGGCAGGGTAGCCCCTGGGATTCAGGCTGGCCCAGTAGCTCCTGCCCTCTCAGCAGAGACAGCCTCTTCAGAGGGAACTGCGGCTGGAGTCCTGGGGGAGATGATGATTGGCACAGTGTGGGTCACGTGTTCATCTTGAGCCCATCACTACAGTGCTCTGCCTAGATTTGTGGACAGCCTTCCCACACTGGATTGTAGGGTCATTCCTTAAAACAAGGGGATATTGAGCAGATGTAACTGCTCAGAACAGAAAACGCAATGCATGTGTGCCTCACTGCTCACATGGTGACAGTCTAGATCCGGATGCTGCACTGCATGCCTGCCTGCAGGGGCTATGGGGTGTGGGTGCTGGGGCTTTGTGCCTGGGCATGGGGGTGTGGGAGAGCTTTTCACGCCAGCCATGTCCGCGCTCTGGGGGATCCTCTCCGCTCCCCACACAGCCTGCAAAGGTGGAGGGTGGCCTGGCTGTACAAAGCCCTCGTCTTTTGGGTCCTGTTAGAATAGCCTTTCTCACACTTTGTGGTCTCGTACCTTTTACCCTTTAAAAAATTGCTGAGGGCTCCAGAGACCTTTTGTTTACTTTAATTATTATGTCTACCAGCTTTAACTGTATTGGAAATGAAAACAGAGATGTTAACAATGTTATTGCTCATGTAGAGATAACAACAGACCTGTTACATGTTAGCATAAAATGTATTTTTTATGAAAACCAGCTGTTTTCCAGAATAAAAAAATTAGCAGGAAAAGGGGTGGTTTTGCATTTTTTGCACATTTCTGTAATGTCTGGCTTAATGGACAGCTGGGTCTCATATAGGCCTCTTTCTTTTTGTTTTTAAGATTTATTTATTTGAGAGCACTCACAATGGGAGGGGCAGAGGGAGAGGGAGAGGGAGATACTCTCAAGCAGATTCCCCACTGAGTGCGACCCTGAGATTGTGACCTAAGCTGAAATCCAGAGTCTGACACTCAGCTAAGCCATCCAGGCACCCTTAGGCTTCTGTTTTTAACCTGTTGAGCACAAGTTGTTTTGGTTGAAGTATTTGAAAGAAACAGCCTCATGCAGAGAAGGGAGCAGAGTCTCAGGTAATTGTGGCATTCTCCTTTGATTCTCCACCCAAATGCACCACCAGCACAACTGCGAGTGGTAGTTTCTTAAAAGTTTGTTGCAGTATGGGGTTTGGCACCCTGCCAGTGAAGTTTGCGTGTGCCGGTACCTTAAAGTCCTTTGGTTTGTCCTGCACTTTTTTTTTTTTAAAGATTTTATTTATTTATTCATAGACACAGACAGAGAGGCAGAGACACAGGCAGAGGGAGAAGCAGGCTCCATGCAGGGAACCCGATGTGGGACTCGATCCTGGGTCTCCAGGATCACACCCCAGGCTGCAGGCGGCGCCAAACTGCTGCACCACCGGGGCTGCCCTGTCCTGCACTTTGGATAGATCTTTTACTCATGCAGGTTTTTTTATATCACGATGCACTGCTTACTTGGAGAACACTGCTTCTAAGGTATGCTGATCTTCCAAATAGTGTGCATTTAATCGTAGTTTCAGAAGATCACTTTTGTCACAGTCACCATCCATCTCGTCAAGCACGTCTTTAAGGAGGAGGAAGCTGTCAGAATCACAGTGGAGGATACAGATTTTCCCAATTCTGATTTTTGCCTGAAAGCCCAATTCTTATTACCAGTTTTCCTTGAAAGTGACAGACTCATTTAGTTCACGTTTGATAGACTGCAAAGTGCCCGAGTTTGAGTAAGCTCAGTCTGTCTCTCAGCTACTCTTTTAGTAAAGATGGTATTGCCAGGGGCGCCTGGGTGGCTCAGTCAAGTGTCTGCCTTTGGCTCAGGTCATGATTCCAGGGTCCTGGGATTGAGTCCTGAATCGGGCTCCCTGCTCTGTGGGGCGTCTGCTTCTTCCTCTGCCCCTTCCCTTGCTCATGCTCTCTCTCTCTCTCTCTTTCTCTCTCTTTTTTTTTTTAATATTTTTTTTCTTTATTTATTTATGATAGTCACACACACACACACAGAGAGAGAGGCAGAGACACAGGCAGAGGGAGAAGCAGGCTCCATGCACCGGGAGCCCGACGTGGGATTCGATCCTGGGTCTCCAGGATCGCGCCCTGGGCCAAAGGCAGGCACCAAACCGCTGCGCCACCCAGGGATCCCTCTCTCTCTTTCTCAAATAAGATCTAAAAAAAAAAAAAAAAAAAAGATAGCATCACCAGACAACAGGAGCAGTGGGTCCTGAGTGTGCCACAGAGGCTCACAGCAGCCTCACCCTGAGGTGACCAGTACCCTTCATTTTGCAGCAACAGTGCTTGCTGTGTCTTTCCCTTCTCTTTTTTTTTTTTTTAATTTATTCATAGAGACACAGCTAGAGAGAGAGGCAGAGACACAGGCAGAGGGAGAAGCAGGCTCCATGCAGGGAGCCCGACGTGGGACTTGATCCCGGGTCTCCAGGATCACGCACTGGGCTGCAGGCGGCGCTAAACCACTGCGCCACTGGGGCTGCCCTGTCTTTCCCTTCTCATCACAGAGTATTAAAAATGCCAGTCTCAAGGATCAAGATGTAATAAAATTCATAGTTTTCGCAGCTTCACTGGGGACTCTGCCCTTGCTGTGAGTGGTGAAGAATGCACGATGGCCAGAGGTTTGCCTCGGTGCACTGAGGCCAGTGTGCCCACTCTTCCCTTTGCTTCATCAGCCCAAACATCGACACGGTGAAAAAGGCAAATAACATTTGAATATTATGAAAATAGCTTTGACATTGAGTTTTTGACAACTCCGGGGAACCGCAGAATCTGGGGAACCCATTTAAAGTACCTCTGTTTTAGGAGACCAAATCCGCTGCCCTATCTTGCTTGTCATTTTAGTGTGCAGAATTCAGCCTCCTATCAAAGCCAAGATCTTAAGATTGTGTGTCAGCTGAAAAGAGGCTAGAGAAGGTACAGATCCCTATCTGGTGGGAAGGTGGATGATGTCCTCAGTGAGCCAGGTCACCAAAAAGCCCATAACACTCAAAATCTGTTCCAAACCAGCTTTGGCAACAAGAAACTGTTGATGTAGCTGAGCAGTCCTGGGGTGCTTTAGGGTCTCCTCAGGCCAGGGCTCTAACTGTGACACCTAGATCCACTGACCCTTGCTTGTGCTTTTGCTCTGCTTGCTTTTTTCATGTGTGTCTCAAGGAAGCTGCTCCCACGGTGGTTCCGGACAGCCTCATACTGATGACCTCTCTTTCGAGGGCTGCAGAAGAGTATTCCCTTCCCTCAGCAGAGCCAGCAGAAACTGAGATTTGCATCTCCTTGGCTCTGATTGGGTCATGCTTCCTAGTTCCTTCCAAGATAGCCCCAGTCCCCAAGGCCTGACACTGTCATGTAGTGCTCAACCTCTGCCACTGTACAAAGCAGCCCTGCATATACCTATTTCTGCACTAGTCACTGAGGCCAGCATGGTCATGCTGTAGTTGGCTCCTGAGAGCAGGGACAGAGACATGATCTGGAGCAAGATGGGTGTGTTTACCAGGGGAAGGTGGCACAGATACCAGTGTGCTGCACTGGGGATGCAGGGGAGGAATTGCAAAGTGTGGGTTTCGGGGATGGCGGTTCCTCTGGGATGCAAGGGGAGGTAGGAAACTTTCAGAATCGCTCTGTGCACTATGGCCTTCGTAACTCCTTTATTTATTTGAACACAAATTGTGCAGGTAATCCTAGAGGCCCAAGTGACCCTCAGGACTGGCAGAATGAATGACTGGCTCAGGATTTTTGACCAAAACGTGCTGGTCCCTCCCCACCTACAGAGAGCACGCCAGCCTTTAAAGGAATCAACAGCATTTCAGTGTGTCCTGAAGTGGCTTGACGGGCCACTAATTAAGCAGGTATAGAAATTTGCTATTTATTTTCCTACATATGTTGCTCCTGCTCTCAGCTGAGACGGTATTGATTTTCACTTATTTATTTGAGTCTTACCACCATACCCATTACCTTGGGCCTTGGCAGTATTTGGAGGCAAAGTGGCTCATCAGCAAAGAGAACACATGCGTGATTCAGCAACTCGGTCAGCACTTTTGACACTGGGTAAAGGTTTCTTTCTGCCCACAGTGAGGCCATTTTAAAATCCAGGTAATATGATTTCCTGCATTATTTCTGAGCTGGGTGGTTTGCAGGAGGTGGGCTCATGCATGACTCAAGCAGCCTGCTTGCAGCCTGGCAGTTAGAACCACAGGGGCAGAGCTCTGGCCGAAGCTGTGTGCCTGGATGTGCCATAGCGTCCTGCACACTCAGGCCCTTGCTCTGTGGCTCTGGCTGCATCTGTGTCCTTCAGGGGCAGGAAAACTGCTAGAGAAGCTGGTACTTCTGCGCTGCCCACAGAGAACCCATGGATGGTTGGATGGTTCTTGTGAGACCCAGTGGGACACCCAGTGGGACGCATGAGAAGGATCCAGACCTGCCAGTGTGAACATGTGAACATGTGACTTTTCGTAGGGTTTGGCTTGGCAAGGCTATGTTCTCCTCTGCAGATAGCCAAGTGATTCTCCATGTATTTAGTTGTTGGGGGCCTGGATCTGTAAGAGCTCACTTCTTTGATATCACTCACACCCTACAGCATTCGCTTGTAAGCCCTCTGATCCAGCGACTGCTGTGTGTGGCCACTGTGCTTGCCCCATGGTGGCTGCTGCTCTTCCAGCCTTACTAGTAGCCCAAACTTTCCTGTTCCAGTTGGCCTGCTCCTTGCAGCAGCCCTCTGAAGTGGCGTCCGTTGTTACTGGATTTCACAGAGCAGGAAACAGCCTGAGGGGACTGCAGCCGGCTGCGTGGGGTGCCCCAATCCAGGTGGCCATCTGGGCTCCTGCCTGGTCACCCAGCGCCAGTGACTTCCACCTAATAGGAGCTCACAGAGTAGTGGACAGTGCTGTCCTCCCCCTTAGGAATTTTAGGAAGGAAATTTTATTTTATTTATTTTCCTATTTTATTTTGTTTATTTGTATTTATTTACTTTTGAAAAGGTAATTATCAGTGTTTAGAATTCACTAGGGTAGGGATCCCTGGGTGGCGCAGTGGTTTGGCGCCTGCCTTTGGCCCAGGGCGCGATCCTGGAGACCCGGGATCGAATCCCACGTCGGGCTCCCGGTGCATGGAGCCTGCTTCTCCCTCTGCCTGTGTCTCTGCCTCTCTCTCTCTCTCTGTGTGTGTGTGACTATCATAAATAAATTAAAAAAAAAAAAAAAAAAAAAAAAAAAAAAAGAATTCACTAGGGTACGTGAGGAGAGTGTATAATTACACAGAATCCCTAAGGCAGCAGTGTCCCACCCTAGACTCAGCTAGTGTGACCTGCTTTTTTGTGTAACTTTCTGGAAACTCTAAGCAAATACAGCAGGTAAATATACCTGTATTATTTTGCTTAAAAAAATATTCTTAGTAATGTCTTAAAGATTGTTCATGTCATTACAATCTCTCTTAAGACAACATAGTATTTCTCTGGATGAACCTGCCTGTATTTATCCAGACCTTTATTGATGAACATGTAGATTTTTTCTCAGTCATTTGCAATACAGACACAGCTACAGTGATTAACTTCATTTACACATATGTACATATATGTCTGTGGAATACTTCCTCCAAATGGAGTTCCTGACTCAGAGTTTCAACTTATTGTTAAGACCATTTATAGGTTGCTTATAAAAAAAACACACTTTAAGCAGAAAGAAATGAACTGTACCTATGAAAGTTAAAGGATGGAGAAAATACAGGCCATGTAGACCCTATAAGAAGCCTTTGTGCTGTGATGTCAGTCAGTTTCAAGGTGAGGAGTACTACCAGAGATGAAGGGGCATTTCATAATGATGCAGTCAGGAAGATAGGACAGTTCTAAATGTGCATGTACCTCTGTTGAGAACTGCGAGACCACCCCCCAGGCTCAGTGTTTCCTTGGGAAGACTTCACATGTGTCAGCATATAATCAGCCTCATAGAAAAGGTTTACTGCAGTGAAAGGATATGGAGTAAGATCAGCAATAGGAAAGGCATATGGGAGAAAGTGTGGGGGGCTAGGCATGTGCTTCCAGGGTCCTCACAGGACACATTCAGTTCCCTCGGTAACGAGTCATGACAACACGTATGAAATGCTCCCAGCAAGGAAGCTCGTTAGACACTCAGTGGCCACAGTGTTTGAGGACTGGTCAGGCGGGTATCCTCTGCCTAGCATGTTTCCAGATTCCACACTCCCAGCAAGAAAGGAGGTGTTTAGCATAAACCACTCTATACAGTTTAGGCACAGGTTGCCGTTGTCAGTATGGTGATGGGAACCCTCCTGAATGCTAAGTGCCCAGCCTCCATCCAAGGGCCAGCCTCCTATACTGGCCTTTTTTTTTTTTTTTAAGAGATTTTATTTATTTATTTATCTGAGAGAGAGCAAGTATGAGTGGAGGGGGGAGGGGTAGAGGAAGAAGGAGAAGCAGAGTCCCCACTGAGCAGGGAGTCCAATGCGGCGCTTGATCCCAGGACCCTGAGATCATGACCTAAGCTGATGGCAGACACTTAACCAATTGAGCCACCCAGGTGCCCCTCTACTGGCCTTTCAAAGCACAATAGTTTGGCAATAGTTTGGCATAATGGTTGGGCAAGCTGTGATTGCGCCTTTGTGCACAGCACCCAGTGACACAGCTTCCAAACACGTGAAGCAAAATTGTGTAGGACTAAAGGGAGCTCCATTCATATTCACCATCACAATTGGAGACTTTTAACCTTCCTCTCTCAATAATTGATAGAACAAATGTACCAGAACACTCATAAGGATTTGGAAGATTGAAACACCATCCACCACTCTGACCTGACTGTCATTTCTAAAACACTATAACCAACAAATAGAATACGTGTTTTTCTCAAGTGCATGTGGGACATTCACCAAGATAGACCATATGCTGGGCCATGAAAATAAGTCTCAATGGATTTAAAAGGATTGGAATTTATAGAGTATATATATGTTCACTGACTTGTATGATGTTAAATTAGAAATGAACAAGAAAAAAAAAAGAGAGAAAAAAAAAGAATAAAAAAAAAAAGAAATGAACAAGAAGATACCTAGAAAATCCTCAAACAGCAGGAAATTAAACAGCACACTAACAACTAATCCTTGGGTCAAAGAAGGATTCATAGGGAAATTAGAAAATAATTTGAACTGAGTAGTGGAAGAACAGACCAAAATTTATGGGGTGTGAGTAGTTTAGTCCTTGTAGGGAAATTTACATCTTTATATGACTATGTAAGAGGAGAAGAAAGGTATAAATTCGATGACCTCTATGTCCTCTTTAAGAATCACGTGAGGAGAACAAGTTAAACCCAAAGAGAATAGAAGAAGGAAATGGTAGATTTCTGCTCATTTAGCAGAAATCAGTAAAGAAAGGGCAAATAATAGAGAAAATCAGCAAAGCCAGAAGTTGGTTCTTTGAAAAGATGAATAAGATTGATAAACTCCTACAAGACTGATCATGGAAAAAGAGCAAGAAAACACAGATTGCCAATATTAGGAAGGAAAGAAGGAGCATTGCTATATATCCTACAGATGTTAAAAAGTCGAGGGATATGAATAACTTGTGTGACAACAAATTTGATAACTTAGTTGAGATAGACACATTTCTTGAAAAGCTCGACTTACCAAAAGTGACACTAAAAGAAATAGAAAATATAAAAAGTCCTATGTTTGTTAAATAAATGAATTCATAATTAAACAGCTTCCTACAAAGAAACTCCAGACTTCGATGACTTCATTGTTGGATTTTATAAAGTATCAGAGGAAGATTAATTAATTTGAATTTTTGATAAACTCATTCAGAAAACAGAGGAGAGAATGCTTCCCAGCTGTTATTTTGAGGCTGCCATAACTGATAACCAGTTTGGGCAAGGATATCACAAAGTACAGACTGACATCCCTCATGAATATGAACACAAAAGCTCTTAAACTATGAGGACATCAGATCTAGTGATATACGTAAAGGATAGTACAGATGGGATTTAACACAGGAACCCCAAATTTTACAAGTTTTATTGTTGACTCTTGAACAATGTGGGGTTAGGGGCACTGACCCCACAATGCAGTCAAAAATCCACACATAAGTTTTGACTCCCCCAAAACTTAACAAATAATAGCCTACTATTATTCCAGAATCCTTCCTGGGAATGTAAACAGTTGACTAATATGTATTTTTTTATGCTGTATGTATCATATCCTATGTTCTTATAATAAAGTCAGCTATAGGAAAGAAAATCCTGTTAAGGTGTAAGGAAGAGAAAACACATCTGCGGTTCTGTACCATCATCATCAAAACATCATCAAAACAGAATGAAACCATATAGAAGTGGACCTGTGCAATTCAAACCTGTGTTCTTCAAGGGTCAGCTGTACGTACAAAATCAGTGAAAAGAAAGCATTTAAAGGAAGACCAAGTCAAAAAAAAAAAAAAAAAAGACCAAGTAGGAAACACATGAGAAAGTTTAGTCCTACAATGTTTGTATGAGTTTAGTTACTTTGAGAATTGACAACTTTAGATGATAGCAAACATCCCTGAAAGAAATTGGCCCCAGAAAACAAAGTTTAACCAGGTGGCTCAGTGGTTGAGGATCTGCCTTCGACTCAGGTTGTCATTCTGGGATCAAGTCCCGCATCAGGCTCTTGTAGGGGAGCCTGCTTCTCCCTCTGCCTGTGTCTCTGCCTCTGTGTGTCTCTAATGAATAAATAAATAAAATCTTTAAAAAAAAAACCAGGGTCAGAGGATGGGCAGGTGTCTAGATGGCAGTGCTCAGGGAAGGCATGGGAGTGAGCCGGGGAGGTTCCTGAGAAAACATATGGGTAGAGAGGCAGCCCGTGTGCCGAGAGAGGTCTGAGAGAGGTCTGCAAAGTCCCGAGGGGCCCCCATACCTCTGTGATTGAGACGGGGCTCAGATGCCTCTTCCAGACCTGTCAGCTGTCTGACACCTCCGTACCCAACACTGCCTCATTCCCAGCAGCCCGGGGCAGAAAACATGCCATCATCCTTCGCTAGGGATGTAGGACTTGCAGCACTAGGCCCAGGTGAGGCCTGGGCGCCCGGAGGCAGCTGGCCACCCCGTCCTTCCAGCTGCTGTTCCTCACCTCCCCACATCTGGCCCATCACTGGTGTCACCCAGTCACCTCCATGTGGTAGCTGGAGGGAGGTATAATGGATAAAACAGTTGAGAGCTGTGTAAGCATGCAGCGCGGGGATTTGACACCCATGTGCTTTGTGAGGCACCCCTGCTGAGTTCCATGGCACATTGGCTTCTCCCTCTACCTCTCACAGCTGCTGTAGGGACACAGGCAGGTGTGGGATTTTGTTTGTTCAGGCCCGTTGAGAGCAACCAAGAGAAGACTGTTTGTTGCCATTCCCAAGAGGTGGGGGTATACCAGGCCACATAGGGCCACGCGGGGTGGCATGTGGTCGATCGGGAGGCAGAGCAGCCAGAGAGACTGTGGCTGAAAGCCTTCATTGTTGTTTCTGTGGGGAGGAATGTGCAAGGCAGTCTGAGCAGATGACTAGGCTTGGGATGGCTGGTGTAATCTCAGTGGTCTCCCCGAGTCTAAGAGCCAGATGGAGGGCCAGGTGGGAGTGTGAACTCTGGATTGGTTGGTTTGCTCATCCTAGATGTTCTGGAGGGCAAGTCATTTACTCTGTATAGGAATTAGCTGGCCCCAGGACATATGCCCGTGTCTGTGCCTCGGGGCTTCAGTGCTCTAAGTGGCCGGGAGGGCCAAGCACTTTCATGCATAACCCTAAGACCACTGGCCATGGGAGAGAAAAGTTCCCCCCAAGGATATTGACACCTAAAAGATGCTAAGTGATCCGATTCTACCAGGCTGGATGGTCAGCACACATGGGATGGCTCAGGATGTCAAGAACCCTTCAGGACCTGTACCCTTCCGTCTCCTAGGGAGTGCTGGAGGTGCTTTCGGAGGTGGGCTGCCATCTGCGTGTGTCTCTCTTTGATGTCACCTACCGACACTTTTTCGGGAGGACATGGAAGACCGCGGTGAGGCCGGCTGAGCAGCTTTCCAGGCAGCCATCCAGGATCATCTTTGATGAGGTGGGCCATGGTGGCAGGCGGGGCAGCTGTGTGGCCAAGACCAGGTGTGTGGGGCTTATGACCTGGGGACATGACCAGTGCATCTCAGACCCGAGAAATGCCACTGAGCAGCAGATGGGTCATTGCAAAGCTTGTTTTAGCACTGGGGCACTTCATTTCTAAACAAAATCTATGTGGAGGCCAAACATCCTGAACAGATGAGAGCACATGGCTCTGGTCGAAGCGGTAGGGCAGGGGGCTCCTGGAGGTCTTCTCGCCTTCAAGGACCCTTGGGGTTCTTGGAACAAAATTAGGAAATTATTATTTTTTTTAAATTTTTTTTTAATTTATTTATGATAGTCAGAGAGAGAGAGAGAGAGAGAGAGAGAGAGAGAGAGAGGCAGAGACACAGGCAGAGGGAGAAGCAGGCTCCATGCACCGGGAGCCCGACGTGGGATTCGATCCCGGATCTCCAGGATCGCGCCCTGGGCCAAAGGCAGGCGCCAAACCGTTGCACCACCCAGGGATCCCAGTTAGGAAATTATTGATCTCATCTGATTCTCCTGTTTTCCCTCACCCTCCTTGTCTGCCTTCTTTCATTGTGGCTTTTTTCTTTGTTTTTAAAGATGAGCACTTGCAGCTTAGAAGGAGGGTGGCTTGCCCAGGTAGCAGGTGGCAGAACCTGGACTCGAACCCATGCCTTCTGTTTCCATCCTGAGTGGCTGCATTGGCATTGCTTGGTGACATGGTCTTGCCTGCTTGGTTGTGTCTGGCTGCAGCTAGATGGTTTGTCTTTGTTTGGCAGCACCCAATACGAGCCTCTACTCAGCCCTTGGACTGAGTGCCTAGTGGTGATGGTGGATGGCATGGCTGTAGCACTCATGGTGTATAGCAGGGGTGACACACAAAGGCAGGTGACAGGGTCATTGCAAATTGTGGTAAGCTTCTGAAGGAGACCAGAACTGTCTCTGGGGGTGAACGGGGAGACCTGAGGTGGGAGGGCGAAGAAGGAGGGTCCCCCCTGGCAGCGAGCATTGAAGCTGGACCTGCAGCAAGAGGGACTAGTCCTTTGGATGTCTGTGAGCACAGGCACTGTGAGTGGAGCATGGCTTGCATGCTCACAGGCTGCAAACACCGGGGGCAGAGCCCAGCGCTGGGGCACACTTCCCAACACAGTTGGTCTGCTTGATTGATGTGGGTGATGGTCACAGGTATGGAAAGGGCTGAGGCCCCGTTGATGTGATCTTTCTCATGGGCAGAGTGGGCTCGAGGGGCAGGTAGTGCTGTGAGTAATGGAGGTGGCTGTGACCATAGCCGTTCTTGGAGGTGTCACTGTCTGTAACCAGAGCCGAAGGTAGCCCTTTGGTGCTGGGGACTGTCCCGGCCCAGACGTGAAACAAATGTGCTGCTCTCAGCATTTGGCTGCCACCCAGAGTCCAGATTATGGTTGGATTGTGGTTGGGCGTGGATTGATTCTGATGGGAGCCCTCCCATCACAGGGTAGTGGAGGGTGCTCCTACCCCTTAGACGTCAGGAATGTTGTCCTGGGGACAGAAGTTGTGCTGCTGAAAGGCCTCTGGCCTGCCGTGCCGAGTGTGAGTCACCTGTGGGCCTGTCGGTGACTCCCTACAGGGTTTCATCAGCACAGGTGATGAGTGGCCTTCACGCCTCTGACCCGGCAGGTCAGGGTTCACCAGGAGCAGCATGGCCCCGGTGTGGGTGATCACTTGGCCCCAGCTCAGCCTCTGCTGCCTTTGAGGGTGGCCTTCAAGGGCATGGCTGTTCAAATTTCTCTTTGTCGTGGGTACAGTCTGGCCCTGGGAAGCCTGGTGTTGTGACAGTTACCAAGTGAATGATGAAGGCCATGGTGACATGGCTGTCCCCTACCAGGGAGTTAACTGTGGGCTGAGCGTTGGCTCGCAGCACATTTATGTGATTCCATTCCCACCCCCCCTCCTCCAGAGGCCGGTGTTCCATGTCCTTCTTGAAGAGTAACCCAGCACGGTAGGGGGCTGGGAGTGCCTGGGGCAGCGCACCTGCTCTGCAGCCTCCCCTGACCAGTGTCTGCTCCCGGGCTTTCCGTTTGGAAGAGTCTTGTGGGTAGAGGGAGGGAGGCGTGCACTGAAATCAGTACTGAGTGCTTTGCGGTTGTAGTTTTGGAATGAGTTCCTCTTCTACATCCTCCCCTCAGCCCACCCTTCCCTGGCCCATGGTGAGTGGTGGGACGTCCCTGTCATAGGGTCATGTCCTCTGCCTAGGGTGGCTTGGCTATGGTGACCCTCCAGAACTGCAGTCATGGTAGGAAACAGCCCTCAGAGCAGACCTGCTCCTCCTGGACTTGTCTAGGGTTAGCATTGCTACCCCCAGAGACCTCGGCTGCCGTGCCACTCGTGGGACCGCAACACTTCAGGTGTCTCCCAGTCCTGAGCCCTCACGGCCAAGTCCCAGGTCCGGGGTGCCAAGCGCCACCCTGCTTTGCCTCGGCTGCCCTCACATTTTGTCTCCTGCTGAGCTGGGCAGGGTGATAGGGGATTCTGGGTTAGTGAGGACTTCAGGGTTTAATGTTTCTGGAAAATTCTGCACGCTTCAGTCTTGGAGTTGCTGAAGTGGAGTGTGCAGCATTAGGGCCGGGGGCTGGCCCTAGTGTCTTCGGCTGGGAGGTGAGGCCAGAGCCCGGACCTGCTCAGGGAGCCCTGCCGTCCAGTTGCTATGCCCAAGGCGAGCAGCAGAGGCCAGTGGTGGCCCAGGAATGAGCTCCGGTCGGCCGCGCCCTTCAGCTGCATCCTCACGGAGCCCAGCACTACTCTCCTTTCCTTGGTGCTCAGCACACAGGGAAATAGGTTCCTCTTGAGTTGAGTTAAGGAAAGCAAAACCCCTGTGTGGCGCATGCATGCAAGCTTATACGCACATCCGTATTTCCCCGCACACGGGGCACTGATGCACAGGAGGGTCTGCGCGCTCTGCCCGCATACCCGTGGAAGTGAATACCAGGTACCCCTTTTCAGGGGGATTCTGAAATTTGGTGAAGGTCTCTCTCTGATTTTATTGGTTGTGTTTTCTGGTCTTACTGGCCAGCAGTGGTGTGGGGAGATCTGACTGGAGGTGGGCAGGCTGCATCTTTGGAATCACCATGGCTGTCCAGTCAAATGTAGATTAATGAACCCAGCTCCTGTGCTCCGGGTTTTTACTGAGTCGTTAGGTGTCATATGTGGGCCTGATTTTATTACTTGGCAAACACTGTCCTGCAGAAAGACCTTGCCTTGAACTTGAGCTGATGTTTCCGTGAATGATGAATTCCTCCCCTCTCAGGCTCCGCCTCCCAGGTGCTGCCTGCTGGAGCCTCTCAGCTCCCAGCCCGCAGTTCTGGGCCGTCCTTCCAGACCATCCTCGTGCAGAGGAATTGCCTTTCACTTCTGCTGAGATGGTTAATAATTTGTTCAGCCTCTCAGAAAGTATCTTTTAAAAAATAATCTGGGAAGCCAAAGTACCGTGCAGTTTCTGAGATGGACATAATTCTCCTTTAAATTTTCTCCTTAACTAACCGCACACGGGCTTCCTGTGACAGTCTCATTTTTCCTCCTCCTCTTATGTTATGGGAGTGACTGGGCAGGAGTCGTAGGGGTCTCCACTGACCACCGCCACGCAGACCAGGCTTGCACCTACACAGAGCTTGCCTTGGCCCCGGGTGTTGTTAGAGGAGTAGGTAACCCAGGTGTTTGAGCTCAAGGTACAGCTAATTGGGCGGCTTCTGCTTCCCTTAAGTGACACCATGAGAAACAATTCTCAAATGTTCTTATTTGTTAGAGTAACGGGAACCATGTAATTCCCTCTTTAAAAGTGGATGCTGTTAAGGAATATCCATGTAATCCCAAGGAAAGTCCTGGAAGCTCTTCCAAGTGACTTGATTAATCCCTTACTTCTTGAACATGTGCTGGTCCTCTCTCAATAGCCAGCCTCTCATGTGTCCTCTATGCAGCTCCCAAGCGTACGTGACCATGGCAGGAGCCCTAGGGCAGTGTCCTGCACCGTGGCCCCTTCCTCTCCAGCTCTATGGAAAGTACCCCCAGGACCCCGAGCCAGATATGGAGGAATGATCACTTTCCTGGATGTTTCTAGCCCTGGGCCTTAGTCGTACGGAGATTTAACTACCTGCCATGGGGGATGATAGAAAGCTTTAAATTTGTCAGCTTGTGTTGTCTATTCATAATAATATATACTGTGGGTTATTTGCGTATGCTTACTCTTCTGAGTAAGCCAAGGAAGTGTCCTTTAGGCTGAAGTGGGATTGGCTCTGGCCTTGGATATAGGGGTTGATGTAGGATGGAAGTGAGCTCTCACTTATTCCTGTGGGGTTTTAGGCCAGTGACCCAAACTCTTGACTCTGATTTCACTCATCTGGGCATGAGAGAGAACACTACGCATGTCATAAGGTTTACGTGGGTGCTAAATAATATGTTCTTCACCAACAGACACCCAGTAAGCAGTGGGCATCTGTTCAGCAGACGCATCATGCCAGGCTCTGTTCAGGAGCTGGCTGTAGCAGGTTGGAGAAGACAGTGTGTCCCCATGTCAGCCAGGGCTGAAGTTTACACTGTCACTCTGGACAGGCTCCTTAGCCTTGGCATGCTGACATGGGGGGGGCCGGACGAGTCTCCTAGTGGGGCTGGATCTATCGTGTTGTTTCCTGTGGGTAACAGTGGACTGAAGCTTCTGACTCTGGAACTAGAGACTTTGCATCTCTCAGCAGAGTTTCATGTAGCAGAGTTCCCCAGGCCTGGAGCATTCAGTCTTGAGGTGGGAAGTGTACAGGAAACCACCCAAGCCCTCAGGTGGGAGGCTGAGCTAGCAGGTAGGAGCTGCAGGAAGTGTTATCTTTCTGCCTTCCTGAAGATATTCTATTAAAGATTTATTTAAAAAAATTGTTTGGAAGGCACTGTTAGAATCTCTGCTCTGCTCTTCCCTGGCCATGCCATCAGCTTTCTGCTCGGGGACTGAAGGGGGCAGGTCGAGTGGCAATGCCGTTGGGGACACATTGGCTGCAGTCTCTCCACAGAGGCACATCATCAGAGGCCCAATTTCAATTCTGTCATGTGGCTGAGAAATGGGGACTTGGCCCTGAGGCAAAATGGTGTCCATGTTTTTGAAGATGAAGGCATTAAGACAGGAGCATTTCCATGATTTATTAATCTGTTTATCCTGTCAGGGAGGAAACCTGTCAGATGTAGATGAGTGGGATGTGACTGGGGTGAATGAGGGTCCCCTCTTCTGTCTGGAGAGGCCCTCTCTTGCAGGTAATTTGATGGGCTTGACTCAAACTTTTAATCATGCAATTTCAGTTGATGCATAGGGTTTTCCTCTCAAAGCTTGCTGCATGTTGTTAATTAAATGTCCTTAGACTTGAAGGGCTTATTTGCAGTTTTTGCTCAGCTGAATGCTGGCAGGATTTGTAGTGTAGCTTGTTCCTGGGCTGTAAGGTGGGAATATGCCTTGGTACCAGGTGAGCTGGACTGGCCCAACTTTACCCTCCTGGGGACAGTCCCCTCAAGGTGACCAGGGGATTGATTAAAGCTTGTTAAAAACCAAAAATCATGGAGATCCCTGGGTGGCTAAGTGGTTTAGTGCCTGCCTTTGGTCCAGGGTGTGATCGTGGAGTCCCAGGATCAAGTCCCACGTCAGGCTCCTTGCATAGAGCCTGCTTCTCCCTCTGCCTGTGTCTCTGACTCTCCCTCTCTCTGTGTCTCTCATGAATAAATAAAATCTTAAAAAAAAAAAAATAACAAAATCCAAAAATCAGGGACATCTGCATGGCTCAGTGGGTTAAGCATTTGCTTTCGGATCAGGTTGTGATTTAAGGGTCATGGGATCAAGCTCCATGTCAGCCCTGAGTTGGGCTCCCTGCTCAGCGGGGAGCCTGCTTTTCCTTTTCCCTCCACACCCCCACCCCTGCTCCTGCTCCCTCGATCTTATCTCAAATAAATAAAATCTAAAAGAACCCACAACACCAAAAATCAACTGAGTAAATTTGAAGATCTAATTGGCTTTATGCACGGCTCATAAATTGGGCAGCATCCCATTTAGCCAACAGAAAGGAGCTAGAGGGAGCTGTACAAAGTGAAAGGCTTTTATAGATACAATGGGGGAAGGAAGAAGTTTCTAGCAAAGAGAAACTTTTTCAGGCAAGGTACCTTCCTGTGTGTGTGGGGGTGCAGAGGGTCTACCAGGAGATCACCTCACTGGTGCTGGCCAGGGAATTCCAGATCCACCCACTCAGAGCTCCAAGCCCGGGAGAGTGGGAACTGCAGTTGGGTCAGTGTCCCTTGGTTTGCTGACTGGGGCTTAGCATAGGTGACTTAGGGGCCTGTTGGGTTTTCCTAACAAGCTGTGGAGCTGCCCTGTGCTCTCACCCGTGGGAGGCTTTTACTTCCACGTGATTCTGGTTGGTCCTGAGCAGAATTTGCCATTTCTACCTGCCTAATCTAGCCTTTACCTTTGAACTCTGAACTTGAGGGTGGGATCGTGTTTTCAGGCTCCTTAGAAATTCTTTAGCACGATGCTGTTCCCATGCCAAAGGGTCCATAAATTATATTTAGAAGAGACCACCATGTGCCCTTCACGGCCAGTAGTGCCAGGGCAACACCCCTCAGACCTCGGGTCGTGTTCAGGAAGTGGCACTTCCACCACTGACCCTCCCACTTGAAGATGGGGTCTTTGCAGACGGACAACAGCAGGGCTCTGCTCCTGTTGTTTTGGTCTCAGAGCAGTTGTTTTTGGGGTAAACAGAAAGGAGAGGGAGCAGCCATAAATTTGAACCTGGGACATGTGGGAAGCAGCTGGTCCCAGGGCCTCCAGGCAGAGCAATTTCAAGGTGACCTCTGGGTAGGAGATGACTGTGGCTTTGCATCACGGTTTAAGGTATTTGTTTCACTGCCAAAGGAAAAGTGGGTAGTGTTCCTAACACGGATGTGCACAGGTATAAATATAAGAGGTGAGACAGTGACAAACCCAACTCTGCAGTGGGGCTCTCCAAAAACAGTTCTTGAGTCTTAGAAGCAGAAACATAATTCTCTTTTGGTCCAACCACCTGTCAGCTGTAAGTGGTCATTATTTCATCATTTTGCAATAAAAGATAATAGAATAACGATTTATATCTCATGGCTGATGTTTTAATGTGTCTCTCTGTTATCCTGGGCTGACAGTCTGTGATTACAGTAAACGTTTTCCTGGTGACACCACGGTAATGACTCGTTAATGGGGGATTAGTCCACGTTTAAATCACATCGCAGCAGCCCTGCCTTACCTCTACCTGCTTGGAGGGGGGTGGTCTTTGTGTTGGGGGCGGGTGCCACACCCATGCTCCCCCAGTGCAGATGCGATTCTGGGGACCTTCCGTGTCCAGAGCCACAGCTCAGTGCCTCCATCTAGATTTGTTCTGCAAACCCCGGCAGCGCCTCTGTCCCCATCTTCTGTGCCTACGACGTTTATTAGTTTTAAATAAAAGCAGCCAGACCGGGCATGATGAAGTTGAAGGAAGCGACCGCCGAGCAGAGGCACTATCTCTCCTGAGCAGGAGTGCACATTGCAGGGAGGCTGGATGCAGGTGGATCTGACCCCTTCCACCGCCCCAGCTGGGGCTCCATTTGCATCCGAGGGAACGTTACAGGTGGAAAACCTTTTAAGAGAGACTTGAATACTATCTACTTGGCTTAGATTCAAAAAGAAAAAAATCTTGTAAGAAAATGATGTTAGGCACTTTTTGTCATAAAAAGATGTTAGTCGGGCTCTGAACTGGGTATAATTACAAAGCATCTCCTAAAATCTAGGGATCCTGCTTAGTTTAAACAAAATTAGTTTAGGTGGAACTTCATAATGGTTACCCACAAAACGGGTTAGATCCAATATTGGCGAGTTGTTTTGAAGTTTTACGTGGTGAGAGCTCTGTGAAGTAGCTCAGCAGGTGTGTGTGTTTGCAGTGACTGGGTGCTTGTCGGGCAATGGGGTGGTGTGCGCGACAGGTGGTGTGTGGAGGGCCTGCCATCTGTCACTTCCTGTGGGTCAGAAGCTCCAGGAGCGAAGCAAATAGTCTGCTCTCTTGGGTGTTGGGTGCTCTGGAATGTTTCTTGACTCCGAGGGAGCAAGTTTACCATGCCTGTTCTCTCCTGCGGTGCCCTGGGAGGGACGTGGTGTTCCACACGGGCACACACATTCATAGGCGGGCAGAGCGACGGCGCCTGTACCTTTTCTGTATGCTCTCTGCAGCTGGTGGATGGTCAGTCTGTCACCGAAGTTGTGGTTTCTGTTTTGCAGCCCTTGTACTTTCACACGTCCTTGAACCACCCTAACGTGGTGGCTGTGGTTGAGGTGGTCACCGAAGGCCGGAAGCAGGATGGCTCTCTCCAGGCTCTGTCATGTGGCTTTGGAATTCTTCGGATTTTTGGCAACAAACTGGAATCTCCTACCTCTGCCTCCCAGGACAAGCGGTACCTGCCTCATCTTCTTCATCCTTGGAGTTTTCCAGCATCGTTTTGTGGAGATTTCACGCTCCATCATTGGCTGTAACAGAAAACTTTGCAATTGTCAGCTTGTGTTGTGGTTTCTTCCTAACCGTGTGTTGCCGGGAGCTTTTCTGCTGTGTGGTAATTGTTTGCCATTTCTCAGTGAGCCAAGGAAGTGTCCTTCAGCCTGATGTAGGAACTGATGTAGGATGAAGTGAGCTCTCACTTATTCCTGTAGGGTTTTAGGCCAGTGACCCAAACTCTTGACTGATTTCACTCATTGGGGCATGAGAGAGAATGCTACACATGTCATAAGGTTGTGTGGGTGCTAAATAATATGTTCTTCACCAACAGACACCCAGTAAGCAGTGGGCATCTGTTCAGCAGACACATTGTGCTGGGCTCTGTTCAGGAGCTGGCTATATAGCAGGACGGAGAAGACAGTGTGTCCCCATGTCAGCCAGTGCTGAAGTTTACACTGTCACTTTGGACAGGGTTCCTTCGCCTTGGCATGCTGACATGGGGGCCAGGACAAGTCTTTGCTATGGGGGCCGTCCTCGTGCCCTGTGGGGTGTCTGAGAGCATCCCAGGCCTTACCCACCAGATGCCAAAGCCCTCTCCCCCCTGCACCCACCCTTAGCCATGACAATCAAAAATATCTCTGGACATTACCAGATATCCTCTTGGAGATGGTATCATCCCTGGTTGAGAACCAGTGCTCTAGATACACAACCATGAAGATTCCTCAAATGCTGTCTTTCTTGGGACATTTCAGATATTAGAAATTTCCCTGGTGTACTTTTTCTAGGTGCCTGGGTCTTGCGTGTGTCGGGAGGAGTACTGTGTGTGTGTTGGAAGCATGTGGCCCGGGGGCATGGGGGGCTGCTGCTTTGCTCACCTGTCTCTCCTGCAGAGGATGTGATTGTATGGTGTTGACACAGCTCTAGTAGGTGTGGAGTGAGAAGCATCACTGATGTTTCTTGGCTAAATGCAGGATGCAGAGGGTTGACACGCGCTCTGTGGTCTTGCTTTGCAGGTTGAGGCTGTATCACGGCACTCCCCGAGCCCTCCTGCACCCACTGCTCCAGGACCCTTTCGAACGTAAGAGACAAGGCCTGGCCTGAGGTGTTGCTGTGAAGTCCTCTCATCCTCCCTATGACTTTCCTGGTGTTATCTGCTTTGACTCCATCTTGTTCTCTTTCTCTGTGTAAACCATTATCAGCTTAACTGATTTATTTAAGGGATTAGGGCAAAAAGTGTCATGAGCTTGGATGGTTGACGTAACTGAAGGAACTGTAAGCACTAGCCTGAGGGGAAGGTGTTGCTTTGTGCAGACGGCTCTGGGAGAGGCAGCCCCAGAACCTCTTGGTGGGAGGGATGTGGGCCTCCTGGCCTCTGGGGCGGTGGCCTGTCCACCTGACAACCACTACAAGTAGTTGTTGTCTATCACTGGCCATGGCCATGCTAGTACCAGAAACCTTTCACTGTGAGGCCCATTGGTTATGTCCAGCACGGCAAAGCCTAAATGCACAGGAACGTCCTGCAGGGATGCCCGCCATCTTCTATGAGGCCAAGCAGCTGCAGGGGTGGGGGTGGGGGGTGTCTTAGGCAGAGCAGGGGGCTTCCTGCCATGCCTCTGTGACCTGAAGGGCATGTGACCTACTCTGGTTCCTGGCCGATTGAGAGATGGGGAGGGGGCACCTGGTGGAAGCCATCTTGGAGGCCCCTGGTGGAGACCTGACCTGGCCAAGGACCAGGATGTGGAGGGGGTCCAGTGGTTGGAGGTAGATCTGTTGGGGAGGGTGACTTTCTGTGTCTTTGAGTTGTTGCCTGGATTCTGTGATGGGAATTTTGAGCAAGCCCCATCCCTTCCACTGCCTGCTGAATTTGACAGAAATGTCACAATAGAGGAGCAATTAGTTTGAAGCTTAATGTTATTGATAAAGATTGGCTTTTACATTATTTCTCAATTGAGTCTGATCGTTACTTTGCCAGTATTTGTGTCCTACAGCATCCTTAGAATCAGGGCTTTTTTTTTGTCATTTAATTTTTAATTTTATGTTAGGTAGGCTCTATGCCCAATGTGGGGCTTGAACTCACAACCCTGAGGTCAAGAGTCACGTGCTCCATTGACTGAGTTAGCGCAGTGCCCCAGGGTCAGGACCTTTGGAAGGACACACACCATCAGGACCTTGTCCCGGGCAGCATTGGAAGATTGTGTGGCTGTGGCAGTGCCTGAGGAGCTATGTGGCTGGTAGCTCACCTTCTCGTGGGCATTTCCAGAAATGTACACGTTTCTTGCCTGAATGGTCAATACATTCACATGATTCAGAATTAACATAAAAGGATGCCTGGGTGGCTCAGTGGTTGAGCGTCTGCCTTTGGCTCAGGTTGTGATCCCTGGGGTCCTGGGATCAAGTCCCACATCAGACTCCCTGCAGGGAGCCTGCTTCTTCTTCTGCCTATGTTTCTGCCTCTCTCTGTGTCTCCCATGAGCAAATAAATAAAATCTTAAAAAAATAGCATAAAAAAGTATAACAAGGTTCAGTGAGCTCCCCTGCCCCTGCAGTGTTCTGCTCTCCTTCCCCCATACCCCAGGCAGCCCCTCTGAGTCTCCTGGACCCTGGGGGTTCTTTGTACCAGGACAGGAGCAGAGGCGCATGTCCATCTCATTTTTCTTATTAACAGTTTATTTTAGAGAAGGTTTGTTTGGTCTTGGTGTTGAGAGAGCCCCTCATTCTCCCTATGACCTCATGGTATGTTGTTGAGTTGTTGAGTGTGTGTTCTGTGTTGACTGAGTGGCCCTGCCAGTGGATACCGGGCAGACCCAGGGCCCTGGGGCTGGGTACGTTGCTGGTGTGGACACCTCTCTTTTGTATATGTGCCCAATAACTGTGGGTTGAGCTCCTGGAAGCTGCAGTGCTCGGTCTGGGGGCTAGTCTGTAACATTTCTCCTGTTTGCCTTCCATGGAGGCCCAACCAGTGTCTCTCCAGCCGGCCACACGAGAGGGTACCTCTCAGGGCACTTAAAAATTTAAAGTTAGCAGACCCTATGTGTGTAGTCATTAGGTAATAAAAATATAGTTTTCATTAATTGCTTTTCCTAATGAATGCAGTTGGTCATATTGAGAAATAACCTAAAAGCCAATCTTTATCAATAAAATTAAGCTTCAGGGATCCCTGGGTGGCGCAGCGGTTTAGCGCCTGCCTTTGGCCCAGGGCGCGATCCAGGAGACCCGGGATCGAATCCCACGTCAGGCTCCCGGTGCGTGGAGCCTGCTTCTCCCTCTGCCTATGTCTCTGCCTCTCTCTCTCTCTGACTATCATAAATTAAAAAAAAAAATTAAAAAAAAATAAAATTAAGCTTCAGACTTTAGCTCTTTTTTTTATGAAATCATGTAGCTTGCCTCAAGAGGTGGTGAGGCTCCTGTCAGTGGAAGAAATCAAGGCCAAGCAAGGTTTTGGCGGGGATGAGTAGAGGGCATGTCCTGGTCCCTCTCAGCTACTGGGCCCTGTGATTCTGGACTCTGCCTCTTGCACCCCAGGGTCTGTTCTGTTGGTTTTGTTCCCTCCAGCTCCCTGAGCACTGTGTCTGGGCCTTTCTCAGCTGCTGCTTTCTCAGGGTGCTCTCCCTCTTCCCCTAGCTTGCTGTGCGTTATGTATACCTTTCTCAGGGTCCGATCCTATTGTCCTTTGTGCTGTGGGTATCTGTGTTTGTGTATCGGTTGCCCAGATGAGCACATGTCCTCGAGGCGGGGCTCTGTCTTGGCCTCCTGCCTCTCCCAGGGCCTAGTCCCGATGCTCTGTGCAGGTGCTGAGGGGAAAGGGTCCCTTGCAGTCTCCCGCTGAGCTGGGGACCAGGCAATGCCTGGACTTCACACCTTGGGCGGGGAGGCAAGCAGGAGAGATTTCACTATGTTGCATCAAAAGCAAGTATCTTTGTTATTGCAGTTTTAGTAGAGAGTTACTAAGGATTTAGTAAGGATTAGTTTACTTTTTAGGCTGAACTAACAGAGCGATTCCCCCATCTCCATGGAAAAATATGTTTCCTGTTTGTGGTGTTTCTTACTCAGTTTATTGGCTGGTTTGACTGAAAGGGCCTTTAGTGCCAACTCTCATATAGGTGTTTCTCCTACAGAAAATAAACACATGACCCTCATTGAGAGCTGCAGCCTGCAATACGCCCTGAGGCCACACCCGCTCCTGGAGCCCGTGTTCCATCTTCTTCCCCAGAACCTTCTGGTGTCTGGTCTGCAGCACATCCCTGGCCTCCTTCCAGCTCATGGAGAAAAGGGTAAGGGTTGCTCTGTCTCCCTCTATTTGGTGAGTCTGTATTAGTTTGGTGGTCAGACCTTGCAGGGATCAGGCTCTGTGCTATGAGGTGGGCTGGTTGTGGCTAGGCACCCTTAGCAAATGGGAGGAGAGAGAGGAGAGGAGGAAGGGAGGAGGAGAGGAGGGAGGAGAGGGGAAGGGAGGGAGGGGAAGGTGGAGGTAGGAGGGGAGGGGAGGGAGGAGGGCAGGGCACAGGTCCCTTCAGAGCGGTGTCTCTCATCCCTCAAGTTGCTTCTGTGTCCTTACTTGGGAAATGCTGTCATAAGATCCATCGTTCGCATTTTCATGACCAAGGTCGGGAAAACGGGAAAACCACTGTTGTTAGTTCCCACCCTTGCTGGGCTGCCATATCAGAGGCTTGATTATTGTTATCTTTAAATTGTGGCAAAATAGACATAACATAAATCTACTGTTCTAACCGTTTATAAGTATGCAGTTCAGGGGGCATTAAGGATGTTCATCTTGTTGTACACCCACCACCACCACCATCCACTCCAGAACTTTCTCATGTCCCTGGACTGAAACTCTGTCAATCCCTCAATAATGACTCCCTGTGTCCCCTCCCCAGCCCTGGCCGCCTCACTGCCCTGCTTCCTGCCTCTGTGAATTTGACTCTTCCAGGCTCTTCCTCTGAGGGAAATAGTCCATATTTGCCCTTCTGTGGCTGGGTTATTCCACTTGGCATCGTGTCCTCAACGTCCATCCTTGTTGGGTCATGTGTTGGAATTTCCTTCCTTTGTAAGGCTGAATAATATTCCATTGCAGGGATGGACCACATTTTGTTTCTCTGTTTACCTTTCAATGGACAGGATGCTTTTTGGCTGTCGTGCATAATGCTGCTGTGAATGCGGGTGAGCCATGGCTTGAGTATTTTTGAAAACTGAACTCCACGTGAAAGCCTCCGGGCTCTGTCTTGGTGTGTTTAGAACTAGGTTCTCCAGTGGTGGATTAGCCAGGAGGTCTCTGCAGAGATATGCTCTGCTCCTGGGTTCTGCTGACGGGCCTCGATCTGAACTTCATGCTCCTTCCAGGCACCTCCGGAGGCTCTCCGTCTGGCTGTCTGAGGTATCTAGGAGAAGATGCCACACTCATCCTTCCCCACCTGGTGCTACTGGAACCTCTTGTGTGGGGTGGGCTGGCTCCCTGTTCCGTTCTGGGGAGAGCAGGATTGGGCATGAGCGTGAGCTGGAAGTGCCAAGTTTTGACCTAGAATAGGAATACTCACCCCCCAAAAAAGAAGTAGCTCAGCTCCGGTATGGGAATGTTTTCAGTAACAACGTCCCTGCACATGGCTCAGTGTCCTAGTCAATACTGGGGCCCAGACATTGTTATCTGAGTTGGTAAATTTCTGGGATGGGCCCATGGTGGTCAGCCCATTACGAGGTCACTATTTTTCCAATGTTGCTAAGAAGAGATGATGACACACCAGAAATGATAGCTATGAACAGGAACAAGTCTGAGGAGGGTCCCACTTCTGGATTTGCCATGGCTTACCAAGCAACCACCCTCCCCCAGTCCCCCCAACCCCCCGCCCCCCTGCCACCAGCCCCATATAGGAAGTCTTTTCACCCTCCAGAATTTGCTTATGTCCTCTCGAAAGAGAAGACGGGGTCAAGCAGGGAGATAGAATGTTGCGTGGTCACTGCCATCGAGATTGAAAACATGACAATCCGCGTGTGACTCTGAGGCCTCGGCCCTCGGTCAGGGAGGGCCCATTGTGCCACTGTGCTATGTCCCGATGTCAAGATCCTAGGTGCATGCCTGCCTAAAACTCAGCTTACATGAGTCCTTCTGACCTGGGCTTCTGGGTGAGCAGAGTGTTGGTGGGGGCTCAGGTGTGTCCCTCACTCTATGACTTGCCAGTGGGTGTCAGTAGAGCTGCAGATAAAACCTGGACCTGCTGAAGCTCATCTGGAGCCTGGTCCTATGTCATTCCTGTGGTGGCAATGGGCAGCTCTGGTGGCCCCGAGTTTATTCTCAGTGTCTTGTGTCGGCCTGGGGCATCAGAGGGGCCAGCTGCAGAGTGGGGCATGCTCCAACTCCTCACCCTGAAGGGTCATGTCTTCAGAAGCCATCTGAGCCCCCTCCTGTAAAGCGGCCAGTTGGTCACTGGGACACTTACTGGGTGCAGGCAGTGTCTGGGAAATTGCTGTTGTTTTAATCTGTTGTTTATGTTTATTTATTTATTTATTTTTAAAAGATTTTATTTATTCATGAGAGAGAGGCAGAGATAGAGAAGCAGGCTCCATGCAGGGAGCCTGACGTGGGACTTGATCCCGGGTCTCCAGGATCATGCCCTGGGCTGAAGGCAGGTGCCAAACTGCTGAGCCACCTAGGTGTCCCTAATCTTTTGCGTAAAAGCTAATGACCAGGGACCTTAGAAGTGGAGCCGGAAAGTGCCCGGGTGGGCAGGAGCACTCACTTCACGTGGGCAGGAGCATACTCCCTCTTCTTGGGGAGAAAGGACCGGAACACAGCTTCTCACCAAGTCCTCCGGTGACCATCTGAGAAAAGGAACTGGTTTTGCTCCGCCTTCCCTGGATGTGCAGGACGCCAGGCTGATCTGTGCTCTCAGCCATGCAGGCACTGTACCTGCTTTCTGACGCCGTTCTTGTCTGTGTTATAAATCCTGCCCAGGGTCTTCTGGGCTTTTGTGACTCACTCTTGGAAAAGTGTTTCTTTGCTGAATAATATTTTATAGCCCTGAGAGGGCCAAGGCAGTGACTGCTACCAGCTTCAGTGGTGGAATTCATGTGCAATTTGGAGAGGGTCTGATTTTATTTTGGTGCCATATGGGGACGTGGATATTTGTTCATTTGTAAAATATCACACAATACAGGAAGATTGAGTTGTTAACTGAAATTTATATTGAGGTCAGTCTAGATTCACATGTGGTCTTAATAACGCAGAGAGACTCCATGTGTCCTTTGCCTGATTTCCCCCAAATTGTAGCACAAAGTCACAACCAGGATACCGATGTTGACACAGTCTCCAACCTTCCTCCTGTCTTCCACTTTGACTCACTCAGTTCTGTGAAGACTGACTTTGGAAGAGTGATTTTCAGCCTGGGAATGGCTGGAAATGAAGGTCTTAGCTGTGTTGTGCTGGTGGCTCTTTGTCACTCCCCAGAAGGGAGGCAGGCCTTTCCCCTTGGGTGGCTCTCAGAGGGAGGCTCTCAGCATCTGGCTAGATTAGCAGGTGCTGCCAATGCATCATCTCTTCCTGCAACTTGGAAATCCACGCACCCTCCCTCTCGTGGTCTCCTCGGCCTGGTTCTGACCGTTTCACTTGCTTTGGTTTGACAGACCTGGACAGCTGTGTCAGCACCAGGGTCGTTACACACATGCCGTGGCTCCTGAAAGCTGCTTCTTTCAAGGAGAGCTCCCGTGGCCTGGCTCAGAGTGAGTCTCCACACAGAGGCTCCTTGGTTGCGGATCTGCATGCTGCCTCTGTCATTGGGGGGATGGTCTCAGGAGATCAGGACCAGAAAGATGTCTGTTGTTTGGAGGAAGGCTCAGATTGCTCATCCTGCCCTGGAGTGGGTGCGAGCTTTGCATAAAGTAGCTGAGTGCACTGGAGGCTTTGTTGTAAATATAAGTTGGAAGCCTGTTTTCTAACTGTGGCCCTGAAGGCTAGGTGAATGCCAGGACTGCCTGGAGTCCTGAGCGAGGCTTCCTGGCTGGGTGCTCAGGGAGTGCAGGGCTCTTGGGCCCACTTCTCACAGCGCTGTAGGACTGGAGGAAGCAGAGGGCCTCACACTCCCCTGAGCTGGCTGACACCACTCAGCGTCTGAAGCAGACAAAGCGGCCTTTGCCGTGGGCTCTCCTTTCCAGGTCTGCCTCCTCATCTGTTACACCAGAGCTCGGTAGAGCTGAGAAGTGGGGTGTCAGAACCTCGTGCCTGCCAGTCTGCCACGAGGTGGCCCATTCTCGTGGTATCCCACGTGGTCCTCCCAAGTCCCTGCTCAGCAATCTCCTGAGGTGCTCCTTAAAAATGCTGCTTCCCCCACCCCACCCACCCTCCATCCAAGTATCTCAGTGGCTGTGGGCCTTCTCCTAGGCTTCTCTGGGCCGCTCAGTCCTTGCTGGGATTCACCTTCTGGATTGTGCCACGTTACTGTGGGTTGTGGGTAGGTGGGGGTAGGCAGGGGTGGTGGTGGGGTGACAAGAGGAGAGCTGGCTCCTGCTCTGATGTGAGCTCCAGTTTTAATACGACAGAGGTCATCTTTGCTGAAAGTCCTCCCTTCCAGGCTTGCTCCCCGGGGAACTTCCCTGGAGAAAGCAGTGCTCCGACTTCGGTGTATCCTTTTATCCTCTCCCTGGTTCACCGATGCTTGGGTTTGTCCATGATTCATCCGCGGAAGGCTCATTGGATGGATCCGTGTGCATAGACACTGAGCCAGGGTGAGGGCACAGCGTGGGGCTCTTAGTGCTCCTGTCTTGGACAGATGGAAGCAAGGGCAACGTCACGTCTCGCCACAGCCATCAAAGGCAACAGGTGTTTTAGCAATGTGGATGGCTCAGACTCTTTCCGCTCCTGCCTGGGTCACCCTCTAATTGGTCTCATTCTGTTGTTCCTCTTGCAACACTGTTTGGTGGGGTACATTCTGGGGAATCCACTGCCCTTCCAGGAAAGCTGTGTCCCGGGGAGGCTGTGGGACCCTGTTAGGACCTCGTGGAGAGCTTGTTGGGCACCTGGGGGCATTTCTGAATGCTTCTCTTAAGGATGTCACTACAGGGAGTTCTTGCCTGTCTGCGCCTGTAATCCCTGGTTTCTCGGCAGTGCATGTGTGGGGATCCCTGAGGGCAGGGGGTCTGGATTCCTGAAGGAACATTGCTGTTTTTGGGGATTGCATTCCTGCCCAGAGCCTTGGCAACAACCATATGAAAAATAGCCCCAGTCACAGAGTGTGCGGGCCATGAGTCCCCATCCGCCGCCTCACCCCAGTTCCCCAACCCCGGTTGCTGAGGTTGGGTGGTAGAGTGAATGGGGTGACACTTCAGATGGTGAAGCTGTTGTGAGGGGGATGCAGGAGGGAGCAGGGAAGAGGCTCTGAGTGCGGAGTGGGCCTCCAGGCTCCTAACCTCTCCCAGCCTCTGCTGCTGCCCTTTCCTGCATAAAATGGGGACTTTCTTGGGACCTGCCCCTGGAGATGCATGTGGGGAGCAAAGAAGTAAGCTGATGGAGCTCAGCACTGAGAACTTAGGAAGCACCGGGCCCCAGGACCTGTTGTTCTTTATTCATGGGATACTGTCCTCACCCTGGCCGCTCCTATGCAGTGGAGCATCCTGGGAGGCCTGCTCTGTCCTCTGAGTGAGAGCCATTCTCCAGTGCCTGTGATTTTCACAGGACATGGCCTGGAGAAAGCTGGCCAGATGCAACCTGGCCCTGCCCTGCCTCCTGGGCCCCTCAGGATCTGGAAGGTTCTGCCCTGTGCATATGTGGCTCCTTGGTCTGATTTCCTGGTGGAGGAACCATCTTTCCTCTCCCTGTCTGACTTCTGTGTGTGGGGCTCCCTTCCTCACATCTCTGTGAGACTAGAGTCAAGGCTCCTTTTTGCTAATGGCTGTGGGCCTGGGGGCCACCTGTCAATGGGGAGCTGGGCAGAACCTGCTTCCTGCCAGGACTAAGCCTCTTCCAGAAGCCCTGGACTCTGCCACCTTCTGGATGCCCAGATTTGCTCATCCTACTGTACTGTTGTCTAGAGGGGCAGGCAACAGCACAGTAGCGGAGATTGGCGAGGGGCGGGTGGCTTCCCTGCCGGACAGGCAGTGGCCCCAGTACACCGGCAAGTCTGTCTCTGCTGCTGCCCCATCTCTGGAAGGGCTGGCATTGGCTGGCGCCCCTGGCGTCCCACCTGAGTCCCCTGCTCCCAGAGCAGCCCGTCTTTGTTTCTCTTGGGTTCTGTATCTGTGAATCTATTTACTCCCTGAAGTTCTCATAGTACTTTCCTGGTCATTTGGGGATGTGTATTAGCAGCTTCAACATTTGAGTCTCCCTCACTCACATTCTGTGGGTGTGGTAGCCTCGGGCAAGTCACTTAGAGTGTCTGAGCCCTGTTTCTCTTGTAAAATAGAGACTAGAATGTACAGGGATGAGCCATGCCGAGGCTTTAAGATTAGTCTGATGAGCTATGTGTGTACATGTGTGTGCCTTTCCTCGGGAGCTATGACTCTGTGTTCATGGCTGTGAATGGTATTAGCTCTGTCCCCACAGCACTGTCCTGAGTGGGGGGCTGTCACCTGGCTTCCACAGCTGAGGACACAGGTTTAGAAACTGGGGTTGGCCCCTAGGCCCTGGCCCCAGAGTGTCTGACCACCCGTTGTCTTCCCTTGTTTCAGGACACGCCTTCTACCTGCGGGTAGGATGTACTCAGCACCCCCAGCAGGCAGTGGTGTCGGCTCGGGCCTGGCCTCTTCTTGCTGATGGACCCTGGTTTGATGATGGTCCCTCGCTCCTTCTCTGTGCCCAGAGGGCCACAACTGCCTTGTCTCGTCATCCCCAAAATCCTCCATGAGCACCCCCATGCTGCTGTGTGCCCTGTGGCCTGTTGCTAGGGAGGCCCATGATGGAGGACGTGGCTTGCTGCCCTTGGAACTGGTGGTGGAAGTGTGCTGCTTTAGCTCCTTCCTCTCTTTCCTTGTCGGTCCTCTTTCTCCTTTTTTTTTTTTTTTTAAGATTTTATTTATTTGTTCAAGACAGACACACACAGCAGAGAGAGAGGCAGAGACATAGGCAGTGGGAGAAGCAGGCTGCATGCAGGGAGCCCAATGTGGGACTCGATCCTGGGACTCCAGGATCACACCCTGAGCCGAAAGCAGATGCTCAACCCCTGGGCCACCCAGGCGTCCCTTCTCTTTCTCTGGTGGAGGGTCTCAATTCAGGACATGCCTCAGACACTTGTTGGCCATTTCATGAAAGGTTGGACTCTATGTTTTGCTCTTTAAGGAAAAATTGTGGTAACATAGATGTAGTGTCACACTTGCCTCTCGAACCATGTAAACCATGCAGTCTGCGGCCACCACTACCGTTTGCCTCCAGAATGTCTCCTCTCACAAAAACTGCAGCTCAGCCCCATGAGACACTAGTGCCCAGCCCCTCCCCAGCCCCTGGCACCCGCCCTTCCACCTTATGACTCTGATTTTACCACCTTAGGGCTTCTTGTGAGTAGATTGTCTAGGATTTGCCCTTTCGGTGACTATCTCATTTCACTGAGCGCCATGTCTTCCAGGTCCATCCAGGTGTCAATTTCCTTCCTTTTTAATGCTGAATAACATTCTGTGTGTGGATGGACCACATTTTCCTTATTTTCATCTGTTGCTGGTCACTTGGGTTGTCTTTAACCCTTGGCCATGGTGAATAACTATACCTATACTTTGCGTGGGTTCTGATTCCTCCACAGAGCAGCTTCAACACTTCTTTTTAAATTCAGAAAGGAACGTGCAACGTTTCTTAGAAGCATAAGAAATTGTGAAATATGAGAATCTAATACATATTTGTGATGAGGAAGGGGTAGAAAACCATAAAAAAGGAAATAAAGTCATCTGTGATTACTTCTCATACGTATCCATGTTTGCATGTAAATGTAGATTTTCAAATAAAATTGGCTTTAAATGATCTCATACGAGTGTTACACACATCGTTTTTACCTGCAATATTATGATTATTTTTCAATCATTAAGTGATCTTTGACAATAGGAGTTTCATTCCTGTTTTACATGGAGGCATGGTAACTTGTTTAACATTCCCCATCCTAGGGAGCATTTGGTTGTTTCTTATTTTTTTCTGTTATAAATAATGTTTAATGAGTATTCTTGCGCATAAAGCTTTGCTCCCAGATTCGATTAATTTTGCTGAATAGGTTCAAAATGTGGAATTAGTGGGGCAGAGGCGGCTGTGGGGATTCTGAAGGGTCTCAGTGCACACAGAGGCGAAGATGGGATCGCCTCTGGCTGTGCTGATTGACCTCCTGGCAGGACGACCAAGGGCTCTCACCAGGACAGTTCCCTCTGCACTGAGTCTTCCGCTGATGTTTCCTTTCTCTAACTTTGGAAATAGTTCTTAAAATCTAAGGCTTTGCTCCTTAATTCTTACGGGTAAAAGCTGGGGAAGAGACAGGGCAATAGGGCAGTGATGGGATGGGAGGGCAGAGCGCGGGGTGTGTACTGGTGTGGAGGTGGTTGGCTTGGCCTTCGTGCCCGAGTTGGAGGGGAGGTCTCTGCTCAGACTGGACCATGCCTTTCACAGCCCAGGGTTGATGCACCTGCTCTGTGCTGGGCACCCAGCTGCGTGCCAGGAACTACCACCCCTTCTGTCCTCATGGAGCTCACAGTCCGGGGCAGCTACCCCACCCAGACGGGGACTTTTCTTGTGGTGCCAGCCCAGACGGTGTTTTTGCTTGTTGGCTTAATGTGCTCATGAGTATTTCTTCATGTTTCCAAATGGTTCAAGGTAAACGTACAAAAATAAGAAACGGCATCACTGGCTGTGTTCTTGCTAGAGAGGAAGTTAGCGATAAAGGGAAACCAAGCTGATAGGAACAGATGTTACCCTGCATTCAGTGATCTGTGTTCTTTGGATTGCTGAATTATAAAATGTGTTCCTGGAGGAGGGTGGGGGCAGAAATTGGGTTGTAATTGAAATCTGGGCTTGGCGTCTTGGTGTGAATGGGGGTGGCTTCTGATTTAGGGCTCTGAGTGCTGTGCCTGTGGTTTCTTCTCCGCCTGGAGGGCCTGGCACCATGGCCTGGACCTAGGTGGGTGAGAGGCCCTGGGTGCTTCTGGTGGTCCTGTCCCCACGGATACTCTACACGAACCCCCTCATTTTTTCAGGGGACACCCTCCGAAAGCCTCGCCTTCAGAAGTCTGTCACATGGTATTTGGATGATTTATTCTTCACGCTGTATCCTTCCCTTGAGAAGTTTGAGGAAGAGCTTCTGGAACTCCTCATCAGTGATAACTTCCGGGAGGTACTGTCCTACATGGTGGAGCTTAATCTGAACAGTGGAGATGTGGGCAGGGCAGAGGTGGGGACGCTGCCAGTCTCTGATATCGCCAGGCTGGACGGTCCAGCCACAGTCTTGCGTGCTTCCTCTTTTAGTGGCGGAAGGGGATGTCTAACCTGTTGTTTTAACTTTGGTGCGATGATGGTGCTATTACCGTGAGACCCTAATGTTAGTTTTGTTATATCTTAAAGCAGTCTTCATGTAAAAGTAAATTAAATCACCAAATGAGCTTAGGGAGACCAATAAAATGATCAGCATTTATAAAGGACATTTTCAAGATATTTGGCTCATTCCAAGGAGACGACTAGAAGTCTTAGTCATTTTATCCCTGCAGACCCACTTTCTGTGAAAGGGACTCCTCTCACAGGGTCCAGGTCTGCCTACCCATCTGATGTGCTGCCATGAAGTCTTGGTGGTCACAGGTCACAGTGTGTCCCCACTGTGGCCTTTGGGCTGGTAGCTCATTTTCCTGGATGCTCTGCGTCTAGACCCTTGCATGGCTCCCCTTAGGCTTCAGGTCTCTGTGCAAGCTCGACAGTCCTACAGGCTACTGGAGTGTGCTGGTGAGGCCCCCCCCCACCAAGTCTCTGTAAGTATGTCACCTGCTTCCTTTCTCCGGGTGCTTGGCCTGCCCACGAGCACCTGGGTTCCTTACCTATTCCTTGCTCTGTTGCCTGTCTGTCTGTGGAGTATTTGCACCAGGAAGACAGGGATGTGGTTGGGTTCACTGCTGTGCCCAAGGTGCTTCAGTGTCAGCCTATCACAGGCCTTTGCTATCTCCATTGTGACAACGAGCAGTTCCCTTGGTAGGTGCCCATCCTAGCAGTCTGGGAAGTCAGCAAGGTCTTAGCTGCACACACATGCACACAAGCACACACATACATGCACACATGCACATGTATGCATAGATGCATGTGCACAGCACACATAGATGAGATGGACTTTTTTTGCTTGCTGCCCGTTCTTGACAAGGTAGTTCTATACGATGTCTCATGTGAAGTAGAAACACAGAAAAGAGGATTGACAGAGCACATTTTCTTGCTGTGTTTCCTGCTGTGTTCTTATTGCTCAGAGTGGATCACGTGAGGGTAGAGATGCTTTAGGAGTATCATTATTGAATTTTGTGTATCCCCCCAAAATCACTTTATTACATATTTTTACTACTTTGTATTTTTGTCCTTATCCAACTGGTAGCTACTCTGTTTCCTCCATCGCTCTGTTTTCATTACTCAGAGACTAATAGGCTGAATTTAGGTCTGTTCAGCTTGATTAATGGGCAGTGAAGAAAACTTGAAAATTCAGGAATCATTTCACCACGATCATGTAATTTAATAAACAGTAATAGCCTGGAGGACTATCCTGACTCATTTGTTAAAGTGCCTGTACATATTTTGTTAAGATGAAACACTTTAATATCCAGCGATCACTTTGGGGCAGATTCTGTGTTTATTGGTTTATGACTTACTGCATAAATGTGCTCCCTCTTCCTGCTGCCCCTTCCACCCCAAGTCTCTGGTGTCTGAGTCTGGGGGAGGATAGAGGCGCCTTGGGGGCAGTGGGCTTCTCTGCCTTGGGGTGTTGGGGCCCTGGTTGCTCATTTGCTGCATCCTAAGAATTGATCTCAGCCATGGAAACCTGAGTAAGACTTTGGTGATTCAGGTATCTTCTAGGGGGAGGGTGATATTGCTCTGAGAAGACCGTGCTATGTGTAAAGACCCAGAACTACCTAGAAAATGCCCTGAGGCTGGCGGTTCTCATAGGATTATTTGCCTGAATTCATTTTCACTGAGCACCATCTGATCTGGAAATGCCTGAGACTTCAGTTACAGTTTCTTCTTTTTTTGCCTCTCCCCTGGGAGCTTCTGCCCTTCTGCACAGGGATTTACTGTGTGTGACATGTGCTCTTCTAGGGAGACAGTCCACTAGATGGCAGCACGCTGGAGATCTTGGAGCGCCGCCTGTGTGTGGGCGTGCACAATGGTCTGGGCTTCGTGCAGAGGCCACACGTGGTGGTGCTGGTGCCCGAGATGGATGTGGCCTTGACGCGCTCTGCCAGTTTCAGCAGGAAAGTTGGCTCCTCTTCGAAGACCAGGTATTCTCCCTAGGATTGTGATGTCCAGCCGCCTGGAATTAGGAGGTACTAGGGTGCACATTACTGGGGATCAAAGGGAAATGGAGCTGGTTTTGCATGTGAAGTATGCACTTGTCCACCTGGACTTCTTCCCTGGTGCCTTTGTTTCCTCTTGCTGATTTATACCTGTCTCTCATGTGGTGGAGAAGCAGCAGGCAGGAAGTTCTGCCATTCTGTTCAGTCCTCTATTCCCAAGTCGGGATCAGAGACCTCTCCGAGGGGTGCTCTGGAGGACGAGCCTCCTCGGAGACCTGGCCATGTGGTTCTGTCCTCCTGACGTAAGCTCTGGCGATTTGGAATGAGTGTCGATTGAAGCATGAGAGGCTCTGGTTTAGGAGCTACCTTGGGGGCCAGACACAGTGCAGAGCTCTGCAGCATTACTGGGGGAACCTGCCACAGCAGCAGGGCCTGGCACCCTGGGGGGTGCAGGGTGGCAGGAGCACTGCCTGATGTGCTGCTGCTCTGTGTTCTTGACCCAGCTCTGGAAACCAGGCTCTAGTTTTGAGAAGCCGCCTCCGACTCCCTGAAATGGTCCATCACCCTGCGTTTGCCATAGTCTTTCAACTGGAGTACGTGTTCACCAGCCCTTCTGGAGTGGACAGCAAGGTGAGAAGGCCCTGGGCTCCGTGCCCCAAGGAGAAACAAAGTCACCACTAACATTGTTTCTGTTCAGAGCAGCGTGATTATCAGCAGTGTACATAATGGGTGTAGAACGAGATTATAGAAAACGCTTCTTCCTGGTTGTGGCTTTGTTGCAATCATTGCCCCTCTTTCTGGTGATGGAATGTTCTGCTGGCCGATGGTAATCAATAGTTCAATAGGCATGCATAATAGCATTAATTCACAAATATCAAATTGATAATTATTGTGAAAAACGAGTCTATTTTAATGTATTCTTCATATGATGTTAAGGATAGTAAAGCTTTACTACGCACTTTACCGTTTTTACCATTACTAAGTGGTAAATGTTTTCTTACAGTGAACTTTGTGTGTGCCTGTATCATAGCTAAGACTTTGTAAGATTCACTTAGAAGAAATGTGGTTGACCCTTGAGCAACATAGGTTTGAACTGCGTGGGGCCACTTACAACAGATTTTTTTTTTTTTTTGTTAGATACAGTACTGTAAGTGTATTTTTCTTCTCATGGTTTTCTTAATGACATTTTCTAACCTCTGGCTGACTTTATGGTGAGAACACAGCATATAATACATACGACATATGAAATATGTGTTCACTGACTGTTGCTGTTAGTGGTAAGGCCTCTGGTCAACTGAGTGTTATTAGAAGTTAAGTTTCTGGAGAAGTCAGAAGTTACATGCAGGCTTTTGACTGCGTGGGGGTTGCTGTCCGTCATCCCTGGGTTATTCATGGGTCCCTGTATAGCATATAGACATTGTTTTTTTTTTTTAATTAATTAATTAATTAATTAATTTGTTTATTTATTAGACATTGTTTGTATCACTGATGGAGAGTCTTTAGAAGACTCAAATCATACTACCCTTAAGATTCAGTTTTCTGTTTGAACAAGTAAATATCAATTTAACATGTAAATTAGAAATAAAAGGATGACAAGGCACCTTCCACGGCAGTCGGTCTGCCAGCATTGCAGCCTTGCTGCTGGAGGACCAGGACCAAGTATGGTCTTGAGGGGAGCCTTAGGAAGGTGAAGGGGGTGCTGAGTGGAGGTGCTGTTTTATTTTCTCATCTGCTCTCTGCCGTCCACACCTCAAGTCAGTATAATTCAGAGTCCTGATCAGCTGAACAAATCTAGAGGCAGGTGTTCTGATTATGGCTGAACACATGGTCACAATTGATTTAATCAAGCCGTCGTTTCCAGCTCTGCTTTATTTATTACCATAAATTGCCACTGAAATGCAACTGTATGTGAACGCACCTGGCTGCGTGGAGAGGACACCCTGGGCTTGGGTGGGGGACTCATCCAGGAGGGAGGGGGCTCCTGGGGTGGCCCCCTGTGCTGCCCTTGGAAGGAGACAGGGAGGGAGCCAGCCAAGTTGCTGTGTGCGTTTGGCGCTCTCTGCGTCTGCGGACGTGTCATTAGCATCCACTCCAGAATGTTGAATTACGGTCTGCTGGTGATCACAGAGTATGTATACAGAAACTGGTGTGTCTCACATGACGCTTTCTTCTTCTTCTTCTTCTTATTTATTTATTTATTTATTTAATAATAAATTTATTTTTTATTGGTGTTCAATTTGCCAACATACAGAATAACACCCAGTGCTCATCCCGTCAAGTGCCCCCCTCAGTGCCCGTCACCCATTCACCCCTAGTTAGTTTCCCAGAATTAGGAGTCTTCATGTTCTGTCTCCCTTTCTGATATTTCCTACCCATTTCTTCTCCCTTCCCTTCTATTCCCTTTCACTATTATTTATATTCCCCAGATGAATGAGACCATATAATGTTTGTCCTTCTCCGATTGACTTACTTCACTCAGCATAATACCCTCCAGTTCCATCCACGTTGAAGCAAATGGTGGGTATTTGTCATTTCTAATGGCTGAGTAATATTCCATTGTATACATAAACCACATCTTCTTTATCCATTCATCTTTCGATGGACACCGAGGCTCCTTCCACAGTTTGGCTATTGTGGACATGGCTGCTAGAAACATCGGGGTGCAGGTGTCCCGGCGTTTCATTGATGATACTTTATTATTATTTTGTTAACTCTTCCCTGCAGTGCTTAACCTGCAGGTGGTTTTACTGTGTGTTGCTGCCTTACGAAACATGGCTTATCTAGCTCATTGATTCTTAGTGGTGGGGAGGTTTCTCTTCACACAGAATACTGGATTCTACTGGACTGCCATCGGGTGCACTTTCTTGGGTGCAGTCTGGGAAGAAGGGTCCTGGCTGTGAGGTGGTGATCCGCCCAGGCTGCCTGCTGTGGGCATGGGGCTGGCTTGACTAGGGCACTCCCATCACAGACAGGTCTCCACGTTAGAGGGGAGGGCACAGGGGTGCTGCTGGCTGGGCCCCCATCCTTCCCCAGGAATGTGTGTTGTGGGGGCGCAGCCCGGGGTGGGGGGACAGGCTGAGCCAGCACACCCTGATCCCTTGGCAGATAGGAGAGCCGTGGAAAACACTCTTTGCTTGCGTCCCGCCTGCCAGTCTTTCTCCCCTTTGTTCCCTGTGTCAGAGCTTCATACGATGGACATTTCAGAGGTAAACCAAGGCAGACCGTGTAGTAAAATGAACCAGCTGGCTCAGCAGTTACCAACTGCATGCGCAGGCCTATATTGTCTGTACCATCTCCCACGACCCATTTTGATTTATTTTGAAGCAAATTCCAGTCATTGTCTGCTTTGATTACTGTGAACATTGTGGCACATAGGTTCTTTTCTTCTTTTAACCTTTTTGTTACTTAAAATTTCAAATGAAGATAGAGAGAAGGAGGTGCCCACCCCCACTCCTCCCCAGTCCAGCTGGGTCAGTCCCAGACAGCCCGCTGCCACTTCTGTGAACGGGTCCCTCTGTGTCTCTAACAATGGGGCTTAAGCATGCTGCTGCAGTACCATAGTCACACCTAAAATACTGACACAGATTTGTCCAGTGTCACCCAGTATCTAGTCAGCCTGCCTGGATGTTTCTCAAGTACTCAAGTACAGAATCAGAAGAGCCAAAAAAAGTAAATGTACTTTTCTTTGAAAAATGATTTCTGAACCAATCTTCCTAAGTGGGGCAGCTGTGTGCTCCCTCACGGATGCCTCCTCTTGTGCCATGACCTGTTCTCAGGATGACCTTACCGTGTTCCTTATGTCTTGTGTTCTTTTGTGCCTAACGCTTGGAGACACAGAATGGGCCAGGCCTTGTCCACGGGGCGGACTAGGAGCCAAAAGCCTCAGTGTCCTGGGGCCCCGTGTGAGATTGGTCACCGATGAGTGGTAAATGGGAGAAACCATCCAGGTTGAGTGTATCCCATTTAGACCTGCTTACCTGAGTCTGAGGGAACTTTTTTGGTCCTGAGTATTTTGGTAGTCATGGAAAACAAAGCCGAAAGACCATTTTGAGAAGACACGCTCCTTGTTGGTAATCTGTTGGTAATGTTTGCATCTTTTACTTAGAACAACTAAAGCCATTTGTAATTTGTCTCTGGGTGAACTGTAAAGAGAGAAAGTATTTCTTCCCATCCAGATAGCTTCCTTCCCAGGAATTTGAATACAAGGGGACAGTGCACCTGCATTAGGAGGCCTGAAAATGCTGGAAGCCACAGAGGTGTGGGCTCCATCAGCATTGACTGATTGTGAAAGTTGATAAAGCAGATTCCCTGGAGCAGAAGAGAGTGACACAGAATGACGGTAGCTGTGAAAATAACCAGGCCCAGTGTCTTCTGCTGCATTTTTATGTCAGAATAAGTGCAAATCCCCACAGGGCTGCCAGCAGTCAAAACAGTCCTTTTTTTCAGAGTCACATAGCAAAATAACTCCCAGATCTCTAGAAGGTGAAGATTAACTAATTTATTATTTATGTATTTTCTAGCATTCTTTGGACAATGTAAGTCCATATAACAAAGATCTGAGTGCTTGCCAGGTGCCTGGGAATCCTCAGAACTGAATATTTTGATGTTGCATATTTGGCACATAAGAGTTATGTCTCGATTTATTCTGAAAATGATGTAAAGTTAAACTTGTAAAACTTGGAAATAGAGGAGCCCGGGTGGCTCAGCGGTTTAGCACCGCCTTCAGCCCAGGGCTTGATATGGAGTCCCATATCAGACTCCCTGCATTGAAGCCTGTCTGTCCCTCTGCCTATGTCTCTGCCTCTCTCTCTCTGTGTCTCTCATGAATAAATAAATAAAATCTTAAAAAAAAGTTTTAAAAAAGACAAAACTTAGAAATATAGATATCTATAGGGTTTTCTGGAAGTCTTTCAGACTTAGGCTCCCCTTATAGCTTTAAGAAATATATCAACTCACTTTTTTTTTTTAAGATTTTATTTATTTATTCATGAGAGACAGAGAGAGAGAGAGAGAGAGAGAGAGAGAGAGAGAGAGAGAAAGGCAGAGACAGAAGCAGGCTCCATGCAGGCAGCCTGACGTGGGACTCGATCCCAGGTCTCCAGGATCACACCCTGGGCTGCAGGCGGTGCCAAACCGCTGGGCCACCGGTGCTGCCCTCAACTCACTTTTTGAAAATTGTTTTTTTTTTTTTTTTTGGTTTATCTTTTTCAACAATAGTTTATTTTACTAAGAAATCCACAAGGCCTAGAATAATTTTAAAGTGTATAGTTTAGTGGCATTCTGACTTACCTTTGTTTTTTTTAATGTCTCTTTTTTCTTGTAAAAATACACATAACACAAAGTTTACCATCTTAACTGTTTTTAGGTGTGCAATTTGGTGGCATCAAGGACATTTACATTTGTTATGCAGCTGTCACCACCGTCTGTCCCCAGAATTCACATCATGTGAATCTGGAACTTTGGCCCCATGAAGCACTGACTCCTCATTCCTCACCCCCAGCCCCTGGCTCCCACCGTATATTTGACATCTTTATGGTTGTGACAACTCTAAGGACCTCATGTATGTGGAATCATGTAGTATTTGTCCTTTTGTGGCTGGTTTCTTTCACTCAGAATTGTGTGCTCGTGGC